GGCCTGGGGGAGGGACAGGACAATAGGAAAGGCACCGAAACAAAGGGGAACATGGGGGTACAAAGAATGAGCTCTAAATAGTAAAGCTTTAAGTGGTCAATAAGCTACTGAATACATCTCCTGAGAATACATGAAGTCTATCCAGTAGAACCAGACCTTTTGAAATTTCTCCTCTTTATGATGGAGAGCAGAGGTGAGTTCTTCTATAATGCGCAAGTCCTGAACTTTCTGGAGCCAAAGGCTTAGTGGAGGAGGCTCAAGGCATTTCCACGTTTCCAGTATAGTGGGATACACGTCCTGGCTGCATTAATCAGATGCATAAAGCTGGTCATACACCTATTGATTATCTGCAGATTTTCTGTGGTCAGATGGAAAAAGTGCAACAGATTCCTCCATCTACACTTAACTGTGTGGATGGAGGAATCTCCCACTGGGCCAAGCTTCATTATCTTGCTAGTCGCCCCCGCTGGCTCTCAAAGCACCTTAACAATCTGATTGGATGCCGGCATTGTTCAGATATTTTGACAGTCAGCGGGGCCGACTAGCAAGATACTGAAGCTTGGCCCAGTGGGAGATTCCTCCATCTACACAGTTCAGCGTAGATGGAGGAATCTTGCTTTTTTCCATCTGACCACAGAAAATCTGCAGATATAGGTGTATGGCCAGCTTTAGGAGAGTGTTTGTAACGTGTCATAAGGAGTGGAGACGGGTGAAGAAGCATAGCGGATGGGTTGTCCCGCAACTGTCCTCCAGTGAGTTGTAGAATAATCCTTGAAACCGAATCCCAAAAGACCTGCAATTGCGGACAAGTCCAGAAGACGTGGAGAAATGTGCCCATCTGTTGACTACATCTCCAGCACAAAGGTGAGCATTGTGGGAACATTTTGTGTAGGGTGGCGGGAACGTAGTACCACCTAGTAAGAATCTTATACCCCGATTCCTGTAGGGAGCTGGAGATAGATACCTTATGTGCGAAAAAGAGAATGTATCCTCTCTGTTCGGGTATAAGTGAGGATTGGAGGTCCCATTCCCACTTGGGGTTCCAGAGCAATCAAAAGAGAATGGGCTTTTCACATTCCACAAAAGTAGACATTTCTTGATCAGGAGATAAATTGCCCAGAGTTTTACTAAGGAAAGAGCTGAGTTGCATAGTCTGCCACCATCGTCGTGTAAAGAGTTAATTCTCGAGGGTGACCAAAAATGCACCACTCTAAATTGGTTAGAGGAGAGAAGGGAGGAGTTATTTCTTTTTACATTCATATTTTGGATCCCTTTTGTTTTTGTTTTTTCGGTGTACTATAAAATTGTGCAAAATTGTAAAAAAGATTCTTAAACTAACTGGTCAAAATGAAAAAAAACAAAACAAAACATTGTTTCACATCTTTTTTCTATCGATTACCTAAACAATTAAAAAATAATTTTGCAAGACAGCCCCCCCAAGCAAAGTATGAATTTCTTTGTTATTGCTCGAGATAAAGTTTTAGCTGAACAAACAGGCCTCTGTAAAAATTGGTCTAGTTCATAGGGGGTGTACAACAGCTGAAGTGGTTATCAAATACTGTGGTGTCACTGCTGTGCGCCAATTGCTCAACAGACACATGTGTATGTAGTGAAGCCTGATTGGCTCCTATTGTTGCCCCTCCCCCGTTTAGTCTGAGTAATGCTATATGCAGAGGATTTTTGGAGGCTATCCAAACCGGTAGTTATGCAAGCTGAATATAAAATACACTGAATTAAAGGTATACATAACTGCAATAGCGTTCTTTCCTATATCTGGAGCAGATATTTAAAAAAACACTAATGCGGTTGCTTTAAAATAAATATATATTTACAGACAACTAGTATAAGTAGCTGATGTTTGCCCTGAATCCATGAAGTGTTAATGCTAAAGTAAAATATATGGACTCCCTCCATAAGCAGACCTTTTATTGGCAGTTGTAAAAAAACAACAACCACACACCTACTTGTCTAAATGGCTCGCCAAAAAAGATCCCGGAACTAAAGTATTAGGAACTCTTGAGGGGGACGCATATAGGAGATGCACAGGGCATTGATAAGGTAAATGTTCACAGCATAAAAAACGTGCGTAGTATTTGTGGGGTCTCCTGCCGTACACCGTCTGCGGACTTGGTTCTCGCATAAGAAAGGGAGAGCCTTCCGCTTACTTTATGTGCGCAATTCAAGTGCAGCTTTCCTCTCAGAGTGCTGTGTAAAATGAGTTGGCAGGGTAATGCGCATGCGCAGTGCTGCTTTTCGGAGCCCATAGGGAGCAGTAAGGGGGGACGAAGAGACAGCGAACTGCTTGTTCTATGATTGTATATAGTGAGCACATACTCCACATTGCAGGTGCGCCAGGCTTGGTTTCGAAAAAAACAAATACAATTCCTCTCTCTGTACATGCTAAACTGATATTTTCTGACTGTTTCTGTGTAATAGCCACCTTATCGTAGTCCTATGGTGGGGTCTGGACCAGGAATAGTATTGGACATAAAAGAGATTCATCGAGACTGCATGTCGAAATATTGCACCGGTCTCTATATTTATCCATTTATCATTGGTATTTATATTGTGCCGACAGTTTTTACGCTGCGCTCTATATGCCTGATTAATTAGCACTTCCTGCGACAAATTAACCGCTTGACTATTGGAAGCAATGTCCTAATATTTGGACACACATGATAACATCTGCATTTTTGGTTCGAAAACAGCATAAAACCCCCAAACAATGATATATTTTCTGAAAGCAAAGGCACTGTGAAGAATAACAAAAAATGCTAACTGCAAATTTGCATGCCACACGTTATTGGCGCAAATGTTTATTAAACCAGTATTTTTAGGATAAAATACACTAAAATGAAATTTAATGCACAGAAACAGAATATAATACACAATTTTTTTTGATAAAAGACGGGGTCATGTCGGGTAATTAGATACCAAACATTTCAAGCCTTAAAATTGTGTGCGCCCATGAAACCGCAAAAAAACTACAATAACTCAAATTTCTTATAGGCGACATTTTAAAAGCTTTTAACGCTCATCAATTTAGTGTAAACTTTGATTGATGGCCCTAGAATTATTGCTCTCATGCTGATGTTCGCAGTGATATGTAACGTGTGGGGCAATCTTTATTTCCGCATTGGGCGCACCCAAAAGCCTGTTTGCGTTTATATGTGCGTGTATGTGCATTTTTGATTTCTTTTTTATATGTGACTTTACATTAATTTTATTTTTTTTACACTTAACTTTATTGCTATCACATAGGGAGCTAACAAGCCCCCTATGTAATAGCAAAGAGGATCTGACAGGTCCTCTTTATGGAGACATCTAATGTCACCTAGGGACCTCATAGAAGCTAATGAAGCAGAGATCTGCTTCACCAGCTTCTTCTCTGCCTACAGGAGCTGGAGAAATCAGACACCGGTGACACCAGAAGGGATGTAATACACATTTCTTCCAGGTCCAGTGATCGGAGGGCAGACCAGCAGCTGGGATTGTGCTGCTCTCCCTCCGATCAAAGGGGAGAGTCCCGCTGTGCTGGGCCGGGGCCCGCACGGGGGACATCGAAGCTTGGGGTAAGCGGCAGAGGAGGGGGGGATGGCACACTCTAAGGCACTGTTCGTGATCTTGGTTTAACTGCTTCAGGCTGCCGCTGTTTATCTACATTAGGCGGTTCTGAAGCAGATAAACAAGGACTCTGGGAAGAATAAACATTAACCCTTGCAGTAGGGCTGCCTCATGCACTGCAAGGGTTAACTGCTCATCTCTGTCTAGGGGGTTGAATAAAGAAGAATATACTCACCTGAGCCGCCATCTTGTGGCAGAGACTGCTCACCTCTGTCCCCCTCCACTCTGATGGAGGAATGACCCTTGGCAATACACTATATTAGGCATGATGACTCGTGGGTCATTAGACTTACGGAGCCTGAGGGAGAAGAGGCTGCGAGGATCAGGTGAGTATTTATTTTTTTATTTTAGATCCTAGACCAAAACGAGCACTTAAAGTGACACTAAACTCGGGAGTAAAATCTTAATACATTCAAGTAGATTAACAAAAATGTAACTTATTTGTGTATCACTGAGCTGTAGATCCTCAAATCATCTCTGAATTGGTGCCGACACTGTCCTTCTTTCTGGAGAGTGGCTACTTTTGTTCCCCATGGGGCCTGTGTGTGTTGTAAAGTAGCCACCGCTCCAAGCTCACTCCTGTGATGGACTACAATCTCATGCTTAGTCTATTAATTTGTATTGAGGTTCTAGTCCATCAGGGGAGTGAGCTTGGAGCGGTGACTACTCTACAACACACACAGGGACCATGGGGGGCTTCACCTCTCACGTTCTGACATTTTAGGTCATGTGTTAAGAGGACACTTATTGATGTTTCGATTGCTGTCCATGCCCCGTCTGATTCTCCCAGCCCCCCTAGAACCCTACGAGCTGTAGACCTTCTTTGTTTAAATTAGCTTGGTTTTGCCAAGTGTGTTAAAAAGCATCTCAGTAGGACAGTGGCCTGGTCAGGTGCTTTCCCTGTGCTTGGCAAACCCGCTGAGTGCAGCCCAATGCAGGGTTGGCTCAGGTAGATTCTTAAAGTGATACTAAAGCTTCATTTTTAAAATTTGTATAAATGGGAGGCCCACACTTTTAAAATTCATTAGTTATTTTAATAAAAAATGTTCAGTTCCTCGTTCTCTAGTGGTTTCCTGCATAGCTCTCCCAGCCAATCAGTTTTTGGATTTGTTGTCTCCAGTAGATTGATGTCTTTACCAGGGAAAATAAAATTTTCCATTATATAGTGGCTCCTGTACAAGTATGATGACCAGGCCATAAATGTTGTTTTCAGAGTTTATTTTTTCACTACTTACACTTATTATTTTACCTTTATTAGTAATTGTGGAGGATGGTGATTTTTAGACTTTCATATTTCCAGAAAAACATAAAGGAGAACTATGGGGTTAGGGCTTTTCCCCATAGTTCTTAGGGTAACGGGAGGACACAAACTAGCGTCCTCCCATCACCTTAAGCTCAGTATACCGCGAGCTACTGCTCGCGGTATACTGAGACGCCGCAGCTGAAGCGGATCCAGACAATTATGTCTTGATCCGCCCAGCTGCGTGAGTGACAGCTGGCTCTGCCTATCTAGAGGCAGAGCCAGCTGTACCCGCGCCCTCCCCCGTCCGTTCCGCCAGTCAGCGCGGGAAGGGGGGAATCCAGCCCCTCCCGTGACAGGATCTAGAGGTGAGCGAACGCCGGCATGTGTTCGCTCACCTCCCGATCTGAGCCGACCTGTGACAGTCTCATTGTCACAGGTCGGCTAAAACTATGAGGTGAGTTAAAAGCACTCGCCTCATAGTTCTCCTTTAATGTAATTCATAAATATATTTCATTGCAGATTTGTTAAGAATCGATCATGGATGACACTGGAAGAAAGATTGGACATCGTAGTAGGAGCCCTCGTCCATCTCACCACAAGACTGTAAAAAAGAAATCTGCATCAAGGCACAGAGGTGACAGCAGCAGTCCTTCACCTCCAAGAAGGCATTCAACCCTCTCCAAATACAATGCCGAGGTTTCTAGGAAAGGTTTGTCACACAACTACTCCATGCAGGGCTATATAAATCTGACTAAGTTGTACTACAACTGTTGTATGATTTCCTGCAAATGTAATCTGTTCTTTCCCTTTATTGTAGAAGAAAGGAAGAGGGGAAAGAGGAAGATGAGCATATCATCTTCTTCCTCATCCTCCTCGTCACCCGAAAGAAAGAAAAGAAAAAAGAAGGCTGCAAAATCATCATCCTCCTCGTCGTCATCATCATCTTCTTCAGATAGCTCCAGCTCATCCTCCTCCTCTTCAGATGAATCTAGTGACAGTTCTAAACACAAGAAACGCCACAAAAAGAAAAAGGACGGAAAGGGAAAAAAGAAAAAGAACTTGAAAAAGAAAAGTAAAAAAGCCAAAAAGAAGAGCTTGTCTAAAGTGAAAGCTAAGGAGGCCAAGAGCAGGACAGAGGAACCCCATAATGGACCACCTTTGGATTTGCATCAGGAGTCTTTGGAAGAAAGCGGTCCAGGTAAAATGATTTTTTTTTTTGTAAGGACCATAGCAAATTAAGGAATATTTTAGTCCTTTAGACCCCATTCACACTTTTTTAGCACTGATATGAGCTGAGCCACTTTGAGAGACATTGAGCTACATTGAGCCACAGCCCACATATTGTCTCGTTACGTAGCGCTACTTTTGGCATGGACTTCGTAGCTGCTACATTGGGCTGTATCCAATCAAAAGTGGTCTTGATGTGACATTCCTCTTCCTGTTTCCTGCTTATGTTCCAGCTTATATTTCTGTGCAAAAGTGACACTTCTGTAGCACAACACAGCGCAACAATGTTGCACAATTCCGTGCGTCATTGAGCTACACCATTGAAGTCTATTGGGCCAAATCGCACGAAATCTGCCGAAAAATAGGTCATGTTCAAGCGACAAGTTTGAGCTACGAGCTACAGGCAACATTGAGCTGTGAGATGTGAACAGCTCCATTGAAATGCATTGGACGAGCTACATTGAGCTGATGTTTGAGCTGAAATCGTGCTACAAATCGCTCAGTGTGAATGGAGTCTCAGAATAGTGACATTTGTGACAGGCTCCAGCATAATTGCAGAGGTACACTACACAGTTCAGTTTAGCCTCTTTTCATTGCTGTCCTGCAGCTAAGAGCAAGGCAATGCAATGTGATCGTGTGTACAAATGGCCGTGTAAATAAAGTCTCTTATTCATAGGTACTAAGGAGTATCCCAGCCACTTCTGTACCAACACTAACATGACCACCAGTTCCTGATCAGTCCTCTGTAACATCAGCAGTTAGTTCACCTTCATGGTAAATGTCTGAAAAAGACCATGACATTAAAGTGCATCTGTAGGTAAAACATAAAAAAAAAAATGTAGGATAGAGTGGGGAAAGGTTAGATGCTTTGTCACATTTGTATTGCTGTGACCATATTGGGGAGATTCACCCCTCTGTTTGTACTGGTAACTATTGCCGTTGAAAAAGAAAGTGAGGGGGAACCCAAAATTTTAGAGTAATCCCCAGAACAAAAGGTAAGGGGAACATTTTGAATGTTGATACCTGTTCCGGTATCAACTGTCTAAGAAGTGAATTCCTATAACTTTGGGAAATTTCCTCTACCTTCCTATTACGTCTATGGGACAGGAAGTGAAGGGAAATTTCTCCAATGGTACACAGACAGGAAAAAAAAAGTAATAGGGGTTTAAACTAGGGATGCACCAATTCTGTTTTTTTAGTATCGAGTACGAGTACCAATATTTTTTTTCAGTACTCGCCGATATTGGAAGTCCCATTAAGGAAGCAGGGCTTCATCATTAGCCGGGAAGCCGGCTCCATGTACCCTCGGTGGGGTCTCAGGAAGGCTGTGCGGCATCTCAGATGGCCGGGAAGCTAGCTCCATGCTCCCTGGTGACGAGGGAGCATGGAGCCGGCTTCCCGGGCAATCGGGAAGCTTGGCGGCGTGTAATGACTCACCCAAATTCTCGGTATCGCCACCGATACTAGTATCAGTATCGGTGCATCCCTAGTTTGAACCTTTCCCTACCTATCCAAAATAAAAAATAAAAAGTGTTGGCTATGCATACATTTCACAGTGACACTAAACGTAGGAGTTACATCTTAAAAATACTTTCAAGTACCTCAACTATAAACAGAAATGTATCTTATTTGTGTATCACTCGGCTGTAGATCCTCAAACCATCTCTGAATTCATGCTGACACTGTCCTTCCTTCTGGAGGGTGGCTACTTCTGTTCCCCGTGGTCCCTGTGTGTGTTGTAAAGTAGTCACCGTTCTAAGCTCACTCCCCTGATGGACTACAATTTCAATACAAATGATTAAACTAAACATGAGCATGTAGTCCATCACTGGAGTGAGCTTGGAGCGGTGGCTACTTTACACGGGGAACAAAAGTAGCCCCCCTCCAGAAGGAAGCACAGTGTCAGCACCAATTCAGAGATGATTTGAGGAAGCACAAATTAGATACATTGTATAGATATATTTTTTTTAATGTTAAGGTACTTGAATGCATTTTTAAGATTTACATTAACATTAGTAAATGTCCTCCTGTGACCCCAAAGAGAACTATGGCTAAAAAAGGTTGGGCCATAGTTCTCTTTTAACTTTAGTGTCACTTTAATGTGACAGGGCAGTGTTTGACTGTTCATGGTTGAACAAAACCCAAATGCCAGCAGGGTAACAGGCCTTAAAATGTTATAGCTGACATCAAAGCTGAATCTGTTTATGTGAGTGTTACATGTTCCCTGACTCCAGGACTGTAGGTGCAATGAATAAAGGGTATTCTGTGCTCTGCCTGTCTGTCACACTGTTTTCCTGAATTGATGCTTTGATTGTACAGTTGTCACTTTTTGCTTAACAGTGTTGACCGACGAGCAGAAGAGCCGTATTCAAGCAATGAAGCCAATGACGAAGGAGGAGTGGGATGCACGACAGAGTGTTATCCGGAAAGTTGTGGATCCTGAAACCGGTAGAATGAGGTATGAGGATTATCTAGTTTTCATATTTGTACTGTAGAAGCGGTGACCATTTTTGGGATGTGTTAATGGGTTTAGTCTGTTTAAGAAGCTTTCTTTCTTTTTACATGTGTAAAGTGGTTGTGCATAGAACTCTAAACCCCAGTCCATGGACAAGGATCTGCAATAGAGAACCATATCGAAAAGTGGGGCGGCATCTGTTGGCCTTTGCAAACATTTCCAATGCCTGGGGTACAAGCCATTGTTGCCAGGTGTACAGGTTGGAGTTTTGATCCCTACCTCCCTGCTGTCCTCTCCTCTAAGATGGATGGACCTGCTTGTCCCATTCTGGATCTAAAGAGTCTCAACAGGTCTGTAGGGTGCAAAAGTTGTACATGGAATCTATCAGGTCATTGGTTGCCTCCCTTCATCAGGGATATTTTCTGGTCTCATTGGATATCAAGGATGCTTACCTGCACATTCCCATGTTTCAGGGACATCAACACTACCTGCGTTTTGCTGGGGTGACAGGTGTGGACCACCTGGCCTTCAGATTAAACAGAAAACTAGACATTTTTTGTCACCAGAACCAGCAATCATTGGGCCTTCACTTTGGATGCTCTGGTGACTCCGTGGGATTAGTTCAGCTTGATGTATGCCTTCCCTTCTCCTTATCGCTCCTCCCTCACATGCACTAGTGATTTTATTTGCACTAAACTAGGGATGTCAGTACTGGGCATTTTTACCAGTACTCGTGAAAATGCCCCGAAACTAAACGCTGATACGGGCGCTTTCAATTTTTAAACTGAAGCCGGCAGGAAGGCTGCTGAGGTCCCCATCAAGGTCCCGGCAGTCTTCCTGTGAATCATGGGGCTCGTTTACAGCGCTGGCCACAAATCTCCGTATCCTTCTTGTGGAACTCCGCTGCCTGACTCCTCTGTCCTTGCAGGCACTTCCGATCCCGCGGTGTCTGCATGCGGGTGCACGCGTCCATAGACTTACCTTGCGTCTCAGCTCGTCTCCCGGCCGAAAATCCGAACTGCGCATGCCCCAAGATGCTTTGCGGCCGCCCGAGCAGTTTTGTTTTCTCGGACGGGAGCGTGCAGCGAAGACAGGGGTAAGTGTAAACTGCTGTTAAAGCGTTTAAAAAAACAAAACTTTTTGCATATATCTACTGTTTGCTAGCAATAGATATATGCAAAAAACCCGGAGGGTTTAGAAATCCTTTAAACAAGTATGCGGATCAGAAGTTTCTATTTGGCATACCTGTTCCAAGTCAGTGACTTAAAAAATATTGAAGCTAGAGACAGGCATGAAAAGAGCATTTTTAGAAGGAGGTCAATAATGGCGGCACCTATATTCCTCGCAGTACAGGCCTCCTTTACAGGTTTAGTTAATGGGTGTTGTATTTAGTAAAGCATTGCAATGAGTAGTAAAGATGTGTAAAGTTCCATATCTGAAATGAAACAAATTTCATTTTTTCTGAAGTCACATTGATTCTGCTTACCACGATTTGCATTGTGCTCTTTCCCTTTCATTGTGTAAGCACATTCTTTATACTGGATCGGAACCTGTGGGCTGCCATAGAGTTTTATATATCAAGCAGCAAAAGAAAAAACAGATCTAACGCAACTACTGCTGAAAAGCTCCAAAATATTTTTCCTGAGCTGACTGGTACTAATTGGAAGAAGCTGCCATTATGGTGCTGACTGATGAATAGATGTGTGGGGAGCTGTTTCATAAAGTAATACAGAGACCACACTTGATGTGTGTGACATGTGTAGATTCCACTCAGAAGAAATGACCCACTTTCAGCAGGAAATTATCAAGTAGCATAAGCAGGATCCTATAATAGAGCAGAACTTGGCAGGCTTATGGCACATTCTGATCTAAAGGGCAAAGATTAATCAGCCATTCACATTCATTCAAGTGTGTCTTCTGCTTCTCTTTATCCCAGGCTTCCTATATGCTCATTAAAGCATGGCCTTTTCCCAGATATAGAATCATGGAAATATCATGTACTGTACGTCATGAAGGAGGCAGCCGTCTTTCTTTGTTGGCACCTATATAATCTGTATCTAAGGGAGTTTATTTATTTCACATGAGGCTGTATTAAGGATAAATATCTTTCATGTAGAACACATACGATTTATGTTAAGCATGTTTTTTTGTGTTACATCTAGGCTTATTAAAGGAGATGGTGAAGTATTGGAAGAAATTGTAAGCAGGGACAGACACAGAGAGATCAATAAGGTATGTACATTGGAATTCCTCTGAAAAATTGACCTACAACTTTTACTACTAAGTTTGCAGAAATGTGGACAGTTGATAATGCATGTCAGAGCATCTCACATGGAGACAGATTTAACTTCTTTGCACTGCCCCATACTGACAGCACATTAACAATTCAAATCCTTGTATATGTGGATGGTAGTGAAAGCCATGGGGACACCATATGAGGCTTGGAACTTTCTGTCATATTAACTGCTTAACAAATGCCAAGCATCGGAATATGTCTGATAGGCATTCAAATGTGCCTGTGCTATTACATAGGGGGATTGTTATCCCCCTATGTAATAGCAATAACAATAAGGGTGCACTTTTGTAGCTCCGTACGTCCTTGGCAGCGAAAGGGTTAAAGCGTCGCCTATGGCCAATTTTGTGTATTATCGTTTTTTGAGGTTTGGCGCGCGCACGCAATTTTAATTTCTGTCAAAATAGTAATCTTCATTTTTTATTCAGAGTTTTTAATAAGCAGTCTTTGATAGCTGTTTCCTAAAACTGTGTTCAGGTTCCACCTATAGTAATGGCTATCCAAACAGGTAGGTCACGTGTGAGATTACATGCATGACATGGGATCAGACAGGTTTGGGAAATGCTATCTTTGAGATTTTCAGTCTTAAGTGCAACAGAACAACTATGTACTCCGAGTACTCACTGGACTTGACCTCCTTAGTAGATTGAATATTGCCTGTCTTTGTATAACTGTATTCATTGTATCCTCTCCTGCAGCAAGCTACAGCCAATGACGGGCTGGGTTTCCAAATGAGGTCTGGAATACTCTAATGATTCTAGAGAGAATATCTGTCCTCAGTCATTGTGGCATTGGCGGGCAGATGATATCCAAATCCTACCCACTGGACTAAACTAGACTTGATCTCATAAATCTGTGACGTTGTAAGGGAAAACATTTTTTTTTTCTTGTGATAAAGTTAATTGGCAGGTTTATGTATTACTTTGTATATAAAAATAGACACGTGGGAAAAAAAATCAGTGGACTGTGTTATTTGATATAGGTATTGAATAATGATAGAAGTATATTCCTAGTTTGTGCTTTTCAGTGTGTTGCATTTTAGAAAGAACCTGTTTGACCTCCATTTTGCCATTCAAAGCACCAATGCACCATGTCGGCGTGAAGGATTCCTAATAGAAGCCCTTCTTTCTCTCCATGCCTACTGACTGCATTGGAAAGGTGTGCACCCAGTGTGAGCGAGCCCTAACACTTGGGAAATCTACAGATAGTTCCCTTAACCACTTCAAGACCAGGTGTTTAGACCCCCTTCCTGACCAGGCCATTTTTCAGTATTCAGCGCTGCGGTACTTTGACTGACGTTTATTCCGTCATGCAACGCTGTACTGAAATGAATTTTATACCATTTTTTGGGGACAGATAGAGCTTTCTTTTGGTGGTATTTAATCACCACTACGGTATGGGAAACGTTGTTTTTGGGTAAATTTTATTTATATGTATTCTAACTGTTTGGGCTTTAAAAATATATTTCTCTTTAAAAAAGAAAAAGAGATTAGTATGTCACATAACGTATTGATTTCGGCATTTATTGTCTTCATGTTACTGTGTTACTGTTGACGATTGTTTCTTAATAAAAGTGTACATGCTGGAAAAGAAAAGCAGTTTTCCCTGTGAAATGCTGCTTCTTGTACGCCTCCCATCCAGTGCTATGTGCTGGCAGAGCTAAGTAACAGCAGTCTTTGCTGGTGCCTATTGCACTGTACAGTCATATGTGCACACCGTACACAGCTTCTGTTACAGTAAAGGCAAGAATATGAAAATGGAGGCTAGAAGCACAATCTTTATGTGACTGCATATCTATTTCTGTGATTTAATCGGAGGATTAGCAAGACAACCAGGCAACTAGCTTTATACGCGGAAGCAATGACAGCCCCCATATTTCTTTCTGTTAAAGACAAAGAGGGGAATGTACCAAAACTGGAGCAGCTGTGCATGACAACCAATCAGCTTCTGTTTTTCTTGTTCAAATCTTAATTGAACAAAGTGAAGAATGATTGGTTGCCATGCACAGCTGCTCCAGATTTTGTCTGCTCCAGGTTTGATAAATTCCCCCCAAATAATTTTGCATAACGATTACTGTGGATGTGGAGCAAAGCCTAACCTCGTTTCTGACAGATGTTAGGGGATCAGTATGCCACGCTGTCTTGGACCTGAAAGTGGTGCTTTGCTGGACTTCCAGGCGCAATGATCAATGTAGCTTAGATGTTACAGAATAAGCCGTGTCTCTTACTGCTCAGCATGCGACTGGGATAGTCAATGGATCTGACTATTAAACGGTTTTCTCTTGGGGATCAAGTTCTTTCACTTACAGAAAATTCTGCATCTTCTAAAAGGAGTAGTATGGAATGTGGGAATTACTTCTACTTTACCTCACAAATTATGAAAACCATCCCAAGAGGATGATGGCAACCTTTACTGAGAGCAACGGTGAGGCTTCCACGGCAGACCTTTATCTGGCTTCCATGCTGCTAAAGGTGCAGCATTACTCTTCCTCATCATTGACCTGCAGTAAGTGTTTGAATCAGAAGTTGTGACTTTACTTGCTATCTGCTTGTTCCAGGTCTGTGATGAAGATGATAATATTGAATTGGTAGACAGCCATGTGGCTGGGGGCCACCAATGGCAGCACGCATACTTTTTTTAGCATGGGTTTCTCTTCATGCCATTTTCTATTGTACAACCTGAGCCATGGTTTGTGCATGCTGCCTATCCCAGTCACATGCCAAGCAGTAAGAGACACGGCTTGAATATTACAATATGAAGTGTTTATTCTGTAACATCTAAGCTACATTTATCATTGCACCTGTAGTTGATTCTGCACACGCACGGATACTATAGTCACTCTCAATCTTTGCTAAAGTGAACAGAAGCCTTGCTTCTAAAACTATAGAGTTGTGTAAGGGAGTCTCGGAGCAGACGCTTTGCACTCATTTCTAGTAATACAATTCCAGTTAGCTGGCACAGAGGCGGGTAGGAAGGGTTTACACATTCGCTATTTCATAGTTACTGAGAGGACGAGCTGAGCGCTTTAAAGTGTTTAGAAAAGGCAGAAGGGTTTTTGTTTTGTCGGCTGGGAACGTTCAGGAGAAGTCGGTATTGAAGCAAGACATGCAGTCACTTGCAGTGACACTGATGTTTGGAGAATGTGTGCTCTGTCATAAACAATCAGCCTCTCACTTCAGTCCGTCGCCTCTCTGCTGTACAAATCTCTAAACTCATGTCTTGGCACGATGTAATGGAGCCTGTCAGCACCTCATTGTGGGGGATGCAGCAGGGGGAGTGCGGTTTGCACACTGGAGAGAAAAAAGCCAGCAAATAAAGATACAAAAACAAATTCCTAAGTTTATTAGAATGGTAATAAAAACAATAAAAGTAAAATTATATGGCTGTATAGGAGGGAGGAACTATGAACCATCTACATCTGCTATAACTATTTATTAAATGGGGGATGGGGGAGGAACAGTATGGATAGAGGCTCCTGAACTGGTATTGATATCACGGTTATAGACTGATGAACACCAATTGGAACTTCAGCTGTAATTTGCTGGGACTACTTCCCCCTTCTTAGATGTTTCAGAGTGATGTCCAGCAGGTTGTACTGGTAAAGTGCGGGACAAAACCTGTTTTGGTCTTCCTGTACATTCTTTTAGGCATGAGCAGGATCCTGAATCTGAGGAAAAGGCTAAATACAAGGCTTCCACTCTTCTCCAAGTTATTAAACCCTGACCCCTTTTATTCCACTCATCAATACTCAGACACTGGCATTTGACAACTGGATTATGAGGGAAGGGCTTAGCTCCAGAAGCAGCAGGGTTTATCTTGTCAAGGCCCGAAAACAACCTACAGTCTTCCCCACTCACAAAGGAAGTGATTTCAAATAACATCTGCACTATGCCAGTAATGAGTAAAAAGCAGAATTGCTGGGCCAGCAGTCAACAAATATGAACTTCCATTTTATTCTAAATTATTTTCAAATGTCAGTTATGTTGGGTATACAATTTAGATTCCAAAATGTCTTCTGTAGTTATGGAAAGAGTGGTGAAGGGTTGGAACCTGTCCTCATTGAGAGGATTTCCCCTACTTTCCTGTCTAAGTGAGGGGGGGAATATCTACCCAACAGGGATGCAAAAGATTCCCCCTCAATCCAAAATTGTTCATTCCCTGTTCCTAAAGCATTTTCAGTGTACAGAACCCCACCATACGGGGAAGCCATGTTTTTGAAAATCATGACTAAATTTGAAAGGTATTTTTGGACACTAACTTACAGGAGGCTGATCAGATGATGTTGCAATTATATAGGAATTTTGTTTAGCAAAAGTGTACTTGGTCCATACACAGGGTTGAGTGAATTGGAGCAAGTCAAGGCTACTTAATCTTCCCAATCTTGGGCGAGGGGAGCAGCTAGCACTTTCCAAGAAGACACCCTCTGTTACTCCCTGTAGTCTCTCAAGGCGTTCAGGCACTACAAAATCAGAAAGATATATAAATGTGAGGAGAGGAAGGGAAAATACAGTGAGGAAAATAATGATTCGATCCCCTGCAGATTTAGTAAGTTTGCCTACTTACAAAGAAATGAAAGGTCTTTAATTTTTATCATAGGTGTATTTTAAATGCTAGAGACAGAATATCAACCAAAAATCCAGAAAAAACACATGATACAAATGTTATAGATAGAGTTGCAGTTCAGTGAGTAAAATAAATATTTGATCCCTTACCAACCAGCAATAACTCTGGTTCCCACAGACTGGCTATGTGGTACACAGATTAGTCCTGTCACTTTAAGAAGGCACTCCTCAAGACAACTTGTTATGTATATAAAAGAAACCTGTCCACAGAATCCTTTCTTCCATTCAAACCTCACCACCATGGGCAAGACTAAAGAGCTGTCAGAGGACGTTAGGGACAAGATTGTAGACCTGCACAAGGCTGGAATGGGCTACAAGACTATCAGCAAGAAGCTTGGTGAGAAGGAAACAACTGTTGGAGCGTTTATTCGCAGATGGAAATAATACAAAATAACAAACAATCGCCCTTGGTCTGGAGCTCCATACAAGATTTCGCCTCATGGGGTAAGGATGATCATGAGAAAAGTGAGGGATCAGCCCAGAACTACAGGGGAGGAGCTTGTGAATGATCTCAAGGCAGTTGGGACCAGTCACCAAACCAATGTTTACACAATTCCCCTGCCATGGATTGAGATCCTGCAGCGCCCGCAAGGTCCCCCTCCTCAAGAAGACATGTACAGGGACGTCTGAACATCTAAATGATTCAGAGGATTGGGAGAAAGTGCTGCGGTCAGATGAGACCAAAATTGAGCTCTTTGGCATTAACTCGCTGTGTTTGGAGGAAGAAAAATGCTGACTATGACCCCAAGAACACCACAGTCAAGCACGGAGGTGGAAACATTATGCTTAGGGGCTGTTTCTCTGCTAAAGGTACAGGCCAACTTTGCCGCATTGAGGGGCCATGTATTGTCGAATGTTGGATGAGAACCTCCTTCCCTCAGCCAGAACACTGAAGATGGGTCATGGATGAGTCTTTCAGCATGACAATGACCCAAAACATACCGCCAAGGCAACACAGCTGGGTCTCAAGAAGCACATTAAGGTCATGGAGTGGCCTAGCCAGTCTCCAGACCTTAATCCGATAGAAAATGTATGGAGGGAGCTGAAACTTCGAGTTGCCAAGCGACAGCCAAGAAACCTTAAGGATTTAGAGAAAATCTGTAAAGAAGAGTGGACCAAAATCCCTCCTGAGATGTGTGCAAACCTGGTAACCAACCTCAAGAAACGTCTTACCTCTGTGCTTGCCAACATGGGTTTGCCCACCAAGTACTAAGTCATGTTTTGCTTGGGGATCAAATACTTATTTTACTCCCTAAACTGCAACTCAATTTATAACATTTGTGTCATGTGTTTTTTCGGGATTTGTGGTTGCTATTCTGTCTCTATCATTTAAAATACACCTATGATAACATGATAGACCTTTCATTTCTTGGTAAGTGGGCAAACTTAAAAAATCTGCAGAGGATCAAATCATTATTTGCCACACAGTATTTTCTTCTCTGCAGGTCATTTGACATGTGTATGCTTCTCATTGTTATTTCAACCAACATGGTCTCCTGAGCAATCCTCTGAACCACTCAAAGTAATATTAACGTCAAACGGAGGAATTTATCAAAACTGGAGCAGACAAAGTCCGGAACAGCTGTGCACGACAGCCAATCAGCTTCTCTTTCATATCTTAACTGAACAAACTGAAGATAGAAGCTGATCGGTTGCCATGCACAGCTGCTCCAGATTTTGTCTGCTCCAGTTTTAATAAATGTTTTTAAGCTATTCCAAATTTCAAGTTTTAGTTTCCTGCAGAATCACCTGATCCCGAGCACTGGTACTGATGTTCTGTTTTAGGGTGGCTCCATTCACTTGCAGGTTCCTATGGAGCCACGCATGTATGTGTCCACAAACACACAGGCATGACAAGGAAAGCCATTCCCCTCCTCCAAGCTGGTAGATGGATGGCTGCTGGAGACTGTGCTGTCCCTTGTGATCTTGTACTGGACAGGAAGTTCAGGGAAGCAGAGTTGATGGAGTTGGAGCTGTTTGGAATAATGACGAGTGTGAGTGCTTGGGCAAAAATGTAAAGAAATACTTCTGGTGGGTTATGTATAGCTGTTTGATCTGGACTCATTATTGAAAAACATTTGACAGTTTATTACTATATAATCCATCTCTTGAGTTGCCAAAGGGTTCCACCAGGACTGGGTGCCGTCCTTCCCTCCAGTGTCAGCCCCGAGAGCATCCTCATGCTTTGCGAGTATGGCTGCTTTACCGACGTCGAAGTAAAGTAATTCGATACAATCCAATAGCCTTCCCAAATCTTTAATCTGTGTAACGTATAATGGGTACTGCACACAAAGCACAGAGGCCTAAAACAACACACTAACACACATACAAGCAAAATAGTATTTGTAGACACACCAAAATAATACAAAAAATGAAAACCAGGGAGCAGCAGGCAGACATTTGGAAGAGTTCAGTCTTGTGCAAGTCTCCATGTCTTCATTTATCATTGTCTCTATAAATAAATTATATACTGTAGAAAGCCGACAGTCAAGATTATACTCCTGGCAGGAATATGAGAAATGTAAGGCTACTGGAGCTTCTAGGAAATGCAGCAAAGGCAAAGTACCTTTCTGTCTGGGCTTGAGAAGAAAGTGCAGGATCCATGGCATGAGGAGACAGGCTGCATTTGTCCCGGTCAGTGCTAGCAACATCTGCACACGCACACATCTACCAGTTACAGGAATGAAATCTGTGTGTTATGGTAAGCTCTGGTTTTCATTTATTGTATTTTACTAACATTGTAAACGTATTTATTTCTTTCTTTTTGGTTACTTGAGACTAAGACGTTGAATCGAAGGATACAACTTCTCAAAGGTGAAATAGACATAGGTGGAGGTTGTTAGGCCTCCAGAAGCAATGGAGACAATAAACAATAGCAGATGCAAACTGGAATTAGGAATAAGTATTATACATACACAGCTATCTCAGAGTTAGCTGGCCCCCAACCCCATTTAGAAGCTGAATTGAACTATTGCTTTTGGAAAATGAACACAAACTAACATGGTTAACACGCTGCGTCTAACAGGTAAAGATGAGCGGAATTTCTTTTTATTAACTCCTTCCTGGTGGAATCTTGGAACAATCCCACAGTTCTGCATAATCTGATATAATTACAGTCATAATGAATTATTCTGCTGTGTTCATTCCACGTGGCAAAGACCCAGATATCCATAGTCAGGGAAGGCAAGATGTTTTCAAAAAGCCTAACAAAGAGCAAAAAAACATGAGGAGATATATAGGATATGATTGTCAAGTCTACATGGAAAGTATAGGGCAATGAGGGTGACTCAAGAATATATTGCACTTATGCAAATTACAATTACATTATAGTTGGTCCTTTAATTTAATTGCTTTGTACATAATGCCTGAAACAGAAAGCTACTTAATTTTTTTTGTGTTTTTTTTTTTTTATAATATTCATTAAAAACCCCCGAGGATCGCCCCCCAACCGAGACATTTTCTACATAAATAAATAACTTTCACTTTTATATAACCACTTTTCTGAACATTTACATTTGTTTGTTATACAGTATCTACACACGATAGCTTATCCCCCGCACATTACAATACATTTACACACATTTCCTCCCTTTGTGCATTTTCTCATTGCTCAGCATTCACTATTTTAAAGGCCATGTCTAATTCCGTTCAGTCTGATGTTCCTCCAAAGTTTCACGCTAGCCCGGTACAGATGAACCTCTCTTTGTTCAGCAGTGCCTGCATTTAGGGTACTCGCTAATCCCTGCTATACTGACCTATTCACACCTCAGGCAGAGAATTGTACAAAACATAACGTGTATATGTGCTTTATATTGTAACTGTCAAATGTCAATCACACATTTTACCATGGACTGGCGAGTTTCACACTTTTGCAGACGTGCAAAAGGTAGAGTCCAAAGGCCAGCCAATTCTTACATTTAATACATAAGCGTAAAGATACTTTGTACAAAGGGGAAAAATACCAAAAATATTTTGGACAATTATCAGTGGGATCAAAGCTATAAGTCTATTACAATGTGCAATGTAATCCGTGTGTGTGTCTAGTATCTGATCATTCAGATATAAGATGCACATGACACAGGCTTTCAGTGAAGAAGGGGGTCTAGCTTATACTGGGTGAGCAGTGCAATTCTGCTGTCACTCAAGCAGGCTTAAAGGTGCAGATCACTCTGTATATAGAGTACAGTTATATGAAACTGGCATTATAACTCATTCCCTGGTGAGCTACGGCAGCAGAAACTTGCTGGGCAGAGTAAACATCAATATAGGAAGAGTACTTATACATATTCTAAATCTAACATATCACAAACGTTCAATAATTTCCTTTCTTTTTTTTTGGCGTTCTGTTCACCTGTATTGGTGACAATCGGGGAGATTTCACAGTGCTAGAGGTAATACAGTATTATACTGATCTGCTAACATTGTGTGCTGTATGTGGTCTCTTTCAAATTAGTAAGTACCAGCCTTAGTGGGAGATGAATACAAATATGCCCAGGCAACTACCCATTCGTCTTTAGGTATTAACATGGCAAATGTAGGAGCTAAGCAAATGAAATCTTTCTGCTTACGCCATGCTATGCCGTTTATTTTTTAGTTGTTTGGCACACCTGCATAAACTTGGTACTGGGGAAAAAACACAGCACAAAAATAGTTCTACCTATCCTCTGGCTTAGCAATAATTAAATTACCATGCACTACGGGACAAGGATATGTAGCTACATGAGATGGTAACAGATCTCCAATCTAAAAATGATCAGTGCAAAGAAAACAATGAGGTCATACAGTTGAGCAACTACACGCAAAAAGCAGCAGACTGGACACGTACAGAATTAGGATTAAGAACTTCAGATACAAAAGGATTTCAGGGTTATGGGTTTCACTTGTCCTCCGATCACCAAAACCCCAGGTAACAGTACCTGTGCAGTGCTTTCATGTCTGTTTCTAAAAGTGTCCTTTACATGGCCAGCTCACAACAACAGCAGTTGAAATGAGCAAGGCAGACTGTCCGGAGTCTTGGAACATTGCATGAAAAACATCTTCTGTCTTTTCCAGAAAGAAATGGGAACATTGTATTGACTTTTGTATTTGTTGTGCCTTAATTTAAAGAACAGAGTGCGGACAAAGGTGTAAATGAAGCTTTTAGTTGACTACAACTGGTTCTGTGGAGTCTGCCTCTTTTTTGTGTGGTGATACTGAATAAATGAGGAGTGGTATGTACAAAGTAGATCCTTCTCCATATTTAATTGGACATGTGCTGTGCATTCTTCTCAGGAACCCCACAGAGATGGCTAAGAAGATAAAGGAGGCACATATATTTACATTGATAAGTCTATGAACCTGCTTAAAAAATAAAAATAAATAAAAATGTTGACTACTTATGAGTTTCATTTGTCCCCTTGTGTGGTTCTGTCACAATGATCTTCTGGGCATTGCTACCCTTTTTAAGGCCTGCAGTTCAACCTTTCTTGTCATCAGCTTTGCTAATGTTGTTATATAGTAGCACCATTTTGTCACCTCTGTCCCTTTTTTTTGCTCCCCTCCCTTTAAAGTGGCAAGAGCCAAGCACAAGAATTAGTTCACGATGCATGGGAGCTCACTTCTGACTTAAAACGCCAGAATCCAGCTTGGTGGGTGGCGCACTCCTCCCCCAGCATCCTGCTGCAATGCTCATACTTCTTTGGCTACGTTCCTTTTCCCGGTCGCGGTCACTCTCTGACTGACTTTGCGTTCGCTCTGGTCTGTGGTTACTGCTAGCTGTGGGCTGTGATGAGATGGTGCGAAGTAAATGATTCCTCTTCCTTAGGAAATCTGACTGACCCGGAAGACAAAAGCTTCCTTTCCGCAATGCTATTCTGTTGGCGTTCTTGGCAGGCCGAGATCGGTGGCTGTATTCCAGTTGTGCGAGGTGAGAAGCATAGCCTTCGGTGATGAACTGTAGGAAGAAAATTTCACAAATTATATGCAGCAATTATATAAACAAATCATAAAGGGAACCATGTCGGTTCCAAACTATGCCCCTGTAGGGTAGTGACGCAAAGACAGTCAGTAATGTGACAAAGTGTGAGAAAAAAGGACTCGGATGCCACCAGTAGGCAATGTGTGTCTCAATTTTTTAATGCAGATTAGAAATAGAGGAAGGAAGCTGGTTACTCCCGACAAAACAGGCAGTTCTTTCATTTTAAAATTTAAGGTCTTCATTCTGGTCTTCCCCAGATCTTGGGTTCTGGTTACCACTGTTAAAGACAGCTACAGGAAGTAATGCAACTTCCTGCAAACAATGACAGAGACATCATCACTGCTTATTCCCAATGATGTCATAAAATGAATGCAAGAAGTGGCCTGTGTGACACATTGCTGTGTTATTGGTAGCATTGACCTTTGGACATGGCAGTCTCTTTCATACTATACATGCTGCAACACTGCATCAGTTGTAAAATATGATCAAGTACTGGGGAATGTGTGAGTAGCTTTAAATATATGGCAGAGACTAATAAGACTTACCTGACACTGGTGTTGCAGCTTCTTGGTTGGTCGACCTACAATAAAGATTTGCATTGGTGACAGACCTATAGCGCTGTACACTGAGATATCCTTTGTGGAGCCATAAGCTGCATGGATTTTCATATGTACCTGCAAAAATTCAACAGCATAGATAAAGATTTTAAAGTGAAGCATGTGTCCCTATTGTACAAATGTCAATAGATATTATTAGGGATGCACCGATACTGAGGGAGCATGGAGACGGCTTCCCTGCCAATCAGGAAGCCGGGCGGCGTGTAATGACTCGCCGCCCGGCTTCCTAAGCTATGATTGATATGATTGGTTGGGAAGCTGGCCAATCAAGCAGCTGGGCGGCGAGTCATTACCCACCCCCGGCCTCCTGGTTGGCCAGAAAGCCGGCTCCATGCTTCCTCGTCACCTGGTGACGAGAGAGCATAGAGTGGGCTCCCCTCTAATCAGGAAGCCGGACAGTGAGTCATTACACGCCGCCTGGCTTCCTTAATTGGACTTCCGGCATCGGGATTCGGCATCGACGAGTACCGAAAAATATACGGGTACTCGAACTCGATACGGAAAAAAACGGTATCGGTGCATCCCTAGATATTATGGTAAATGGTCATATACAGTCATGAGAAAACGAAAGTATGCCATTTTTAATTCCAAAGTTTTAAGTATCAGGATATAATAAAAAATCATCTGGTCCTTAGCAGGTCTTAAAATGAGGTAAATACAATCTACAGAGACACTTGTGTGACAACTGTCAAGAAAGGTATTTTCCCTCACTTTGGAGAGATTTCCTCTCACTTCCTGTTGTGTCTCCAGAAGAGAAAGTGAGGGCACATTTCCCCAATGTGAACGCAGAAAACACATTAAAACCTGGCAGGGGTTTTAGCCCTTTTCTACACTAGAGAATGCAGTACATACACTGTTATTTACTACATTGCAAACACGGGCAATGAGTAAAACAGTAAAGAGGGCAGTAGTGTTGGTTAACAAGACATGCACTGGTCAGTAGCGGATAGCACCTACAATGAATTGTAAAAAACATTTCTTACATCTTGAATCAAGCTTTTCAGAAAGTTTGCTTTGTGCCGCAGGGGATCATGAACCAATCCGTCACAAAATGAGACTATGCCATGTGGAAAGTTGTGCTGTGCAAGCCATGCCACCACTCTTTGTTTCTGCATGTCGGGTCTGCCTGTGACATAGATAATGAGGTAGCCAAGATCCTGCCAGTGCCTAGAAGAAGATAGAGGAGGTGTTACAAGTGCTATGGACAATGCATAACGCTATCAAATACCTACAAAACAGGGTACACTGACCTCACTACATCCACTGCCCCTGCTCTAACTTTCGGGTCACTGCCCATGATGGAAACGCTAGCGGCAAAAGATCCGTCAATGCTGAATACTACAAATTCTGTTGTTTTAGGTAAAACATGGAGGTAGCTGTCAGCAGACGTATGGTCTCCCCTAGAATGAAAACAAAGGACATTGTTACAGATTCATTTGTATACATAGATGTTACTAAAACCCTTTCATCAACAGATTTATTAATAAGAACAATGTACAAAGTAACCACAGCAACCAACGTTTTGTTTTTATTTTTAAACTGATACTACTCCAGTCATATAAAATCTGGTTTCATCTTTGTACATCAATATTTTTTTTTTCCTCTCGATGTCTTATATACATTTACTTTCATTTATAAGCTAAAATGCTAAATAAGTGAAAACACATAGGTGGAAGATACCATGTAGGTAAAGAGGCTCTATCTGTAGTAGTCAATGAATCATTCATTTCATTTCAGCAATATTATGTGGGGTATTTCTGTTTTGCAATCACTGACAATGTTAAGTGAATATTGTTTAGTATGACAGCTGCATCTTTACCGTATTTGCTCTAAGGTTGTTGTATCATGCTTCTTATGTCATCTCATTTCTTCTTTGGTTATACTTTTTGCTCTCTGCATGTCTGATTTGTATTTTGCCACTGTTTATGTCAATTACCCGTGGCGTTACCTACGGCAGTAACTGTATCCTGTATGCACCAGAAGTTACAGGTCCAGGAGTCTTATGAGTTCACTTTGGTTCCATCCTCTAAAAGCTCCTATCATAGTTTCAAACCCTTAGGGCCCATTTCACTTTTGTGCACAGGTTGTAGTTCATATGGTAATGCACACATAGGTTGTGAATTCACACATATGAACTTCTCTGTCATACAGAGAATACACAGCAGTATAAGCAGGAACAAACAAAAACAAAAAAAAGATCTTTCTTTTCTTTCTAATGTGTGTACAGGAACTAGTGGCTGCTTTATAGGTGTTGGGTGGAGCCTACTGAGAGGCGGAGCTTACTAATCTCATAGATTTTGTCTGTCCTCTTCCATTGATGGGCAGATGTGTGAATTTCATGTGAAAGAGTGCAAAAATGGAAGGAATAAAACATTGTAAAGCTGGAAAGTGGCACTTAGCCTGTAATAATAATGAGAAAAGCAATAGTGGCAGGCAGGATGAACTAATGTGACGGTGATTCTGCTGGTTTCAAGTAAAGTGATTAGATATGATTAAGAAAAAACAACAGAGAGCACCAAAAAGGACCATGCAACTGAAAGGTTCATATGCAAGATTGTTATGGGTCGCTGCCCCACTTCAGCCAGGGAGACTGTGGTATCTAGGATAGAACAAAAAACAGGGGGCGCCTACCCTACTGTAGATGGTTTTTTTATTGGTTAAAAGGTAGCAAGAATAAAATGGTACTCACAAAAAAATCACAATGAGCTTTCAGCAAACATGAGATGGCAGACCAGGATGGAATAGATGAGAGCTGCAGAACGTTCTGAGGAAGGGGGCGTGACCCCGGAAACGCGTCAATGCAGGCATTCTGTGCTGGCACACAGGACTGTCTGTGCTGCTCTCATCTATTCCATCCTGGTTTGCCATCTCATGTTTGCTGAAAGCTCATTGTGATCTACTTTTGTGAGTACCATTTCACTCCGGCTACCTTTTAACCAATAAAAAGTAGAGGTGCACCGAAATAAAAATTAAAAAACCAAAACGAAACCGAAATAAAAAAAATTGTCAGACCAAAACCGAAAATGTTTTTATTTTAATTTTTTCAATATTTTATTTTCATGAGGACAGAGTATGATTACTATATCCACAATCATGAATGATCAGGAGTTGATGTAGAGCACTTCCCATTCATTCATAATTGAGGATATAGTAACCATACCATGTCCTGAATTATCTACAAACACTCAGCAATCACTGAGCATTTGCACTCGCTCTCCTCTCTGACACACACCGTCACAGGAGGCTGAGTGAGCCGTGCGAGATGAGAGCCCAGCCTCCTGCGACAGCGCTGTCTCCGCCCCCACGCGGCTCTGCCGCACTGTGATAGGCGGCCGAGCGGTGTGGGAGGAGAGACATCGGCCGCTCACAGCGCTCTCCACCCGCAACGCTCGGCCGGCTGTCACTATCTCTCCTCCGCGATGGGACACAGAGCAGCGCCCAGCAGGGAGGAAAGAAAGCGGGGATACGCCGATGTTTCGGCACAAAAATGGCACTTTTCGGCTTTTAGCCAAAAGTGCCATTTTCGCCCGATATGTTTCAGCGGCCGATATATCGGTGCATCCCTAATAAAAAACCATCTGCACTAGGGTAGGCGCCCCTTGTTTTTTGTTCTTTCCTGATTAGATATGATGTTCGCACATGAAATAGCTGCTGTCACAAGGCACGAGGTAACATGAGGGTTAGTTGGTGTATCTGCACAACTGTGTTGACACATCAGAGGTGCTAGAGGACAGGAAAGGTCTGATGGTAGATGAGACCACAGACAACGAAATAAAACATGTATTCTACATATACCGTACATTATATGAGGTACCCAATGCATAGAATTAAAGGGTGACAAAAGAACAAAAAACATATTATATTACAGCTTACCAATCCATAGAAATTTTGTCTTTTCATGCTAAGTACAATCTCTACAAGTGCAGATCTTGTACACATTGTACTTGATCTGCCAGAAATTGTATGTCCTTGTTACTTCTGTGAATTGAACTGAAATCTCAAACAACCTTATCAGCTTTCCCAGCTCTCTTCCCTACGTAATGGAGATGAGGAGAGGAGGTGGCGTTTGTGGTCCAAATAAGGAGAGCAGCATAGGGTGAAAAAAAAATGCTCCTCTGTAGACACAGTACAGTGAGGGGATGTTGTCACCCTAAAACAGGAAGTGTGTTTCTGGCAGGATCACCAGTGGAAAATAAATACAATCACCACATCTAAGGACTGATATGCGCCAAGATATTATAATTGTGCTTTTGGGTTTATATACACCGAATAAAGCTGAATAATTCAACAATTCTGTGAAGAGTATGGGAATGATAAGACATAAAGCATCCTACCATCTGTTAGCTCTATAGACAATGATTGCTCTCTAGAGTGCACTGTTCCACTGAAGTGTTTTGACATTTCATTTTACACACTGCTTTTAAAACAAATAGTATGAAGTCTTATTAATAATAAATCATTTTCTAGTTATTTATTATTTTGAAAACAAGTCTTCCTGGTAATATTACAAGGTCTAATGTTGTAGGATAGCGTTGGGCTGCTTTGAGTTCAGATTAACTCAAATAAGAAATAAAGTGTGTTTTTCTTGCTGCTGTTTAGTTTGAAGTCGAGGTAAAGATTTGTGGCTGCATAGTTACTGACACGTGACGCATGGGTCATGTACTCAAAAATGCCATTTAGTGACAATGCGTTTCCTCTGTACAGTAGATTTATAGACCATGCAATTACATTTTTGGGGTATCACCTAGGGATGCACCGCTGCCGATACTGAGTATTTTGGTGAGTACTCGTCCAAATGCTCCGATACTTACCCCGATACCGGAACTTCCAGGCAGAGGGAGATTTGCAGTGCAGGCAGTGCTGCAAGGGAACATGGAGCTGGCTTCCCTAGCCAATCAGCATCGAGCCGGCTTCCTGGGCAATCAAGAAGCCGGGCGGCAGGTAATGACACGCCGCATGGTTTACTGACTGTCCGGGAAGCCGGCTCCATGCTAGCAGAAGTATTAGTATCGGTACATTTCAGCCAGTACCGAAAGATAAATATTGATAAAAGCGGTATTGGTGCATCCCTGGTATCTATCTAGAAGATAAAATAAAGGTTAAACACATGACACAATACCTGACGACCATTTTTAATGGATATACACCGACACCAAGTCTCCTATGTTCAGGGATGACATATGAAATTCTGCCACTGCTGTTGGTATTTTCGGTATCAAAGTAAACCCATTCTCCAGATGGAGGCTGCGTCATTATATGAATATCCACCTGTAGGAAGACAACAGAGTGAGTACAACATGATGCATTGAATTCTATCTGTCATAACTGGCATTATTACTGTCAATGCAGACTGCAATGCACTCAAATAGTGGTCTTGTCACACTCCTTATATGAACAGAAAGTGTTGCAACATGATTGTTGCAAGATAAGTGAAGTTAAATGAAACCTGTCAAAAGAAAAATATGGGGGATGACACTCACTTTCTTAATCCTCTATACTGAGTGCTCTTGTTCATTTATAACTTGTGGAGATAGTATGTTTACTATATCCACAATTATGAATGATCAGGAGGTGATGTAGATTACTTCCCATTCATTCATAATTGAGGATATAGTAAACATACTCTGTCCTCAATTCTTTACAAACACTCAGCAATCACGATTGCTGAGTGTTTGTACCTGCTCTCCTTCCTGACACTCTGTCACAGGAGGCTAGCCGGCGGTGCGGGGAAGGAGTCAGCTGTCAGATCGAGCTCTCCTCGCTGCACCACCGCTCAGCCTCCTGTGACAGCACTGGCTGTCTCCGCCCACACAGCCGCTCTCCTAATCGGTGACAGGAGGCTGAGCGGTGCAGGGAGGAGAGACAACGGCTGCTCACAGCGCTCTCCTCCCGCAGCGCTCGGCCACCAGTGAAAGTTTCCTCCTTGCTGGGACACAGAGCAGCGCCCAGCGGGGAGGAGAGAAAGTAGGGATGCGCCGCTATTTCGGCAGAAAAATGACACTTTCAGCATTTTGCCAAAAGTGCCATTTTCGGCCGATATGTTTCGGCGGCCGATATATCGGTGCATCCCTACTTTCAAGTTCACTACAACCTTTCTCAGGAAAAAACAGGAAAGTTTACAGCAACACAATTTTGGAGAGTATCAGACAGGTTTTGTTCTAGAAACAAACAATAAGTTATACAAACTGCTGCAAAGAAGGATGGAGGTGTTACCCAGAGAACAATTTCCAGCTTTGAATACAAAGTAGTAATAGTCAGTTTGTATTTTGCTTCAGTACTTATCAGACTCTAGCTTTATAGTAGATTATTGCCAACCCACCACCTTGTCAGCTGACTCGGTCCTTGCTATGTGAGGTCCTTCAGCAAGTTGTTTTTCAGCTTCTGAAATGAATGTTTTACTGCCATAATAGTGCATTTTATAGTGCATAGTGCATAATAGTGCAGCATCCTTTGTCAGGATTTTATAGCTGTCTGTGTCTTCCTTTCCAAAAGACCCTGCTAACCCCAGTTCCCCTGTCCTGTTCTTCCAGAGATAAGAAGGGAGGAACAGTTCCCCCGTCCTGTTCTTCCAGAGATAAGAAGGGAGGAACAGTTCCCCCGTCCTGTTCTTCCAGGGATAAGAAGGGATGAACAGTTCCCCTGTCCCGTTCTTCCAGAGATAAGAAGGGAGGAACAGTTCCCCTGTCCTGTTCTTCCAGGGATAAGAAGGGATGAACAGTTCCCCTGTCCCGTTCTTCCAGGGATAAGAAGGGAGGAACAGTTCCCCCGTCCTGTTCTTCCAGAGATAAGAAGGGAGGAACAGTTCCCCCGTCCTGTTCTTCCAGAGATAAGAAGGGAGGAACAGTTCCCCCGTCCTGTTCTTCCAGAGATAAGAAGGGAGGAACAGTTCCCCCGTCCTGTTCTTCCAGAGATAAGAAGGGAGGAACAGTTCCCCCGTCCTGTTCTTCCAGAGATAAGAAGGGAGGAACAGTTCCCCCGTCCTGTTCTTCCAGAGATAAGAAGGGAGGAACAGTTCCCCCGTCCTGTTCTTCCAGAGATAAGAAGGGAGGAACAGTTCCCCCGTCCTGTTCTTCCAGAGATAAGAAGGGAGGAACAGTTCCCCCGTCCTGTTCTTCCAGAGATAAGAAGGGAGGAACAGTTCCCCCGTCCTGTTCTTCCAGAGATAAGAAGGGAGGAACAGTTCCCCCGTCCTGTTCTTCCAGAGATAAGAAGGGAGGAACAGTTCCCCCGTCCTGTTCTTCCAGAGATAAGAAGGGAGGAACAGTTCCCCCGTCCTGTTCTTCCAGAGATAAGAAGGGAGGAACAGTTCCCCCGTCCTGTTCTTCCAGAGATAAGAAGGGAGGAACAGTTCCCCCGTCCTGTTCTTCCAGAGATAAGAAGGGAGGAACAGTTCCCCCGTCCTGTTCTTCCAGAGATAAGAAGGGAGGAACAGTTCCCCCGTCCTGTTCTTCCAGAGATAAGAAGGGAGGAACAGTTCCCCCGTCCTGTTCTTCCAGAGATAAGAAGGGAGGAACAGTTCCCCCGTCCTGTTCTTCCAGAGATAAGAAGGGAGGAACAGTTCCCCCGTCCTGTTCTTCCAGAGATAAGAAGGGAGGAACAGTTCCCCCGTCCTGTTCTTCCAGAGATAAGAAGGGAGGAACAGTTCCCCCGTCCTGTTCTTCCAGAGATAAGAAGGGAGGAACAGTTCCCCCGTCCTGTTCTTCCAGAGATAAGAAGGGAGGAACAGTTCCCCCGTCCTGTTCTTCCAGAGATAAGAAGGGAGGAACAGTTCCCCCGTCCTGTTCTTCCAGAGATAAGAAGGGAGGAACAGTTCCCCCGTCCTGTTCTTCCAGAGATAAGAAGGGAGGAACAGTTCCCCCGTCCTGTTCTTCCAGAGATAAGAAGGGAGGAACAGTTCCCCCGTCCTGTTCTTCCAGAGATAAGAAGGGAGGAACAGTTCCCCCGTCCTGTTCTTCCAGAGATAAGAAGGGAGGAACAGTTCCCCCGTCCTGTTCTTCCAGAGATAAGAAGGGAGGAACAGTTCCCCTGTCCTGTTCTACCAGAGATAAGAAAGAAGTGACTGGAGTCAGACAGCAACACCCCCAGTCTATGCTAAACAAAAAATTGAAGTTTTGTCTGGAGTTCAGCTTTAAGCCAACAACAATCATAATATTAGCACCTCATTTCATTACCAAACTGTGATGCACAAACAGAAACAAATGTATGTCATAACAGATAACCAAAATCCTGGCACCCAAATGCTACATGCAAAGTAATCAGCCCCAAAACCCTGAGACACAATTTATGTTTTTACATGGAAAGCCAGAATCAGTTTGTTTTGCAATATTCCAATATATGATATATTGATAATTGGATTGTTTTGTATACGGCAAGATTTGGACCTAACCTTTGGCAACATATGCTACTGTACACTCTTCTGAACCATGCAGAAGACAAACATTAAGTTGTTAAAAAATGAATCCAAAGTAGATGTGGTTATCATGCAATATGGTTTTCCATCCAACCAGCTTGTTACATGCAGGAAAGTCTAAGTACCTGCTGTTTGCCTGTATATCATTTTACATGAGAAAAAGAACTAACAAGACATAGAAGGATTTTGGCTTACACAATAACATACAAGCAGTGGCACAAGTGCATCTACAACCTACCTTTTCACCAGTGAGGGTTACCATATCAAGAGGACCATACATGAACCGTCCATTGAGTGTCTGGGGTCCATCTTCATTGGCTACAGCGTCATTTATTCTGTGGTTGGCAGCAACATTCTGAAATATAAAGCACAAAGCAGAGGTTCCAGTAAAAAGTGTATTAGATTTATGGACCGTGTAACCTTGCTGAAAATGAAATCTACAGGTATTAAATACTGGAAATAAAGGGTATATTCCATATTCAGTACAATAATACAGATTAGCAATGTCTTATAAGTTCCATTGTGTCCTTGTTAACTAATAAAAATAGAAAACCAGCTGCACTCTTTACCGGAACGATGGAAGACCTGCAAAGCAGGTTGGTGCTTGTAGCGACCACGGACGGCACCGTGTATAGCACAAGAATATCAAGTAAATGTCACCAGCACACTAAAAGTTATTCAGCAAAAGTCAATTTATTGACACATTGCCATTCAGTACAAGCGCTTTCGGGGCCTCAAGGGTACCCCTTCATCAGGCTCAGAATGACACAGTGTCAAAACACCATCACCTTTAAATACACACAAATGAAATGTTTAAAACAGACCACCTCCCAACCAAACTCGTCATTGCACGAGTATCTCCCGCCATTTCATAATAAAAGAAGGCTCACATGTGGCAGGCTTATGGGGAGGCAACGTGATTCACTCACCCAGTTGTTGGCACGCTACTCGCGTGCCAACAGCTGGGTGAGTGAATCACGTTGCCTGCCCATAAACCTGTCACATGTGAGCCTTCTTTTAATGGTGATGGTGTTTTGAGACTGTGTCATTCTGAGCCTGATGAAGGGGTACCCTTGAGGCCCCAAAAGCGCCTGTACTGAATGGCAATGTGTCAATGAATTGACTTTTGCTAAATAACTTGGTGTGCTGGTGACATTTACTTGATATTCTTGTTAACTAATATACACAATACAATTTAACTAGTGCCCACAACTCTGGCGCCATAGTACACAGTAGTGATGGCTCTTCCATTCAGTGGGCCTCAGCCAGTGGTGTCTTGCAGGCATTTCCTAGACATCAGATTGTCCACCGATCAGGCAGAAAACAGCCAGAGCAAAGACGGCTATCTAATACCTATAGCTACCTTAAACTGTATGCAAAGCCAAAACTGTTTGTCTTTAAGTTTTGGCTAGAATGGGAAATGGTAAAGACCCATCAAGTTATATTTGCTGTCTGTGTTTCTGTCTTATGAGGAAGTAAGATACTATTTCTTCAAATGATGCATATCCCCTTCTGACAGATGTTACCAAAACAGGAAAGAAGGAAAGCCTTAATTACCACTGTACAGAATACAATGAAATCAGTCCTACTCTAAACTGGTCCATTAACAAAAAAACAAAAAAAAAAACAGTTCATAAAAAGGACAAAAAAGCAAGTAACAAACAACAATCAATGACAAACTATACAAAACAGACAAACCGAACATAAAATACTACATAAAAAGGACAATGAAACCAACTGCATTACTCATTTCTAACAGTGCTAAACTACCAAATCAACTGCTGGGGGCCCGGGGCAGAGGGGTCCCTGTCAGAACAAGAAGGATGAGCTGTCTCTCGATGTTCATCCACCAACCATGCCCTGTTGTTACTTGAGTACGGAACAGTGTGATTAGCTTTGCTTGTGCTTCTGTTAATCCCTACTCCTCCCTGTCAGTGAGTGTCAAGTGCCTGGACTTAGAGACACTGAGTGATCACTTCACATTTTCCTCCTGATAGTTTTGGCTCTGCTGTGATTATTCAGAGCAGCAGTAGCCGTGGGAGGAGAGAGTGCATAGAGCATGACCCTGAGGTACTGTACTGACTAGTTGTAGTTGCTACTAATTATTCTGGGGATCGTGGGGGGTTGCACACAATGCATACTAGTACCCTCGCTGAATAAGGGCCGGGGTGTAATCATTAACACTACCAGTCTGCCATCAGTGAAGCTAGTAGACACTTTAACTCCTCTCCACTGTTAAAAAAAATGTGTCTGAAGTTGGGCTTTAACTCTATAGTTTAAGTCCACCACTAATTAATAAGCAGACTATTGTTTAGGCTGTCAGTCTTGTAATACAGAGTAATGACTATAGCAGGTGTAGAAGATGCACCCATGAGGTCAGTAGACAACTCCTCTCCTTTATACACCAGTTATGTTCAAAATGTAGCAGCATTTCCCTTTGCTTCATAACCTATGTCTACATTCTGTGATCTTTTAATTATCTGGTATGCTTATAAGGACTGAAAGCGTAAAATTATTACCCACTTTTATTAAACATCCATGACTTAAAGTGACATTAAACCCTCAGATTTTTTAACATAAACCAATACTGTAATGTGCGCCTTACTGTAATCCATGGTTGTTTCCCTTCTCTTTGCTGCTCTTCCTTTTAAATCTGTATCTGTTCTCATGCTGGGCAGAACTTCTGTTTTGCAGCAGACTGCCTTGTCTCTGGAATGGATACACGGTGTCTGTGTGTAGGTTTGTAACCTGAGCCAGCACTACAGGAAGAGGCCCTGAGCTGCAAAGGGACGTTCTCCCCAAGCATGAGAAGACATGAGGATTTAAAAGGAAGAGCAGCAAAGAGAAGGGAAACAACCATGGATTACAGTAAGGCACACATTACAGTATTGGTTTATGTAAAAAAATCTGAGGGTTTAATGTCACTTTAAGAATTGCATAGCATTAATAAGGTTTTTGGATAAGGTATGGGAAGATGAGGTGTTTAGATTTTGCACTAGTCTCCCATGACTTGTAGTTGTGCCTTGAAATAAATGGGAACCGTATACAGTTTTCCAGATATACACATGCACTATGACTGTGGATGGATCTCTCCATAGGAATCAACAGGTCATCTGCCTTATCTTTGTTTAATTAAGAATACAAAGTCATCAAGAATCTCCCAGCTTTCTAAGTCAAGGTTTAATACAAAATGGTTTCACTACATACACAGACAGTGTTGAATGATTCTACTGGAATTGTTGTGTGCCAGTCTGACCCCATGTATGTGCCATTTTAGAGGAACTGTCATCATTAGTTACAAGAACACTGCAAACTCAGCAGCTAACTTTCAGAGTTGTACATCTGCTGTTCACACTTGTGTTTTCAGACATATAACAAAGTTATGAAATGATGACTTCCTTACTTAAAGCTCTAAGATGACATAGCACAGCTAATACTGCAAGAAACACAGCTTACATTACAATAATAACTTATGGGTGAAAAGTATGAGAAATAAGATTTTGAAGCTCTTATGGATGGAATGCATTTACCCGTAGCTTTACGTGTGTTCGCTTTCTCAGCCATTTCTCTCTTGGCTTTGATGGGCTAAATACAGAGACTTCTTTTCCAACCAGCTCCAAAACACTAGCAGTTTCATGCCTCATGACCTGAAATATACAAATGTTTTAAACTTGTAATTGTAAAAACCATGGAAAATGATTTTTGTACTCACTGCACTCTTTTAGGGATTGTCTCCTCAAATGCTATCGTTCTCTTTTTGTACTGCTTCCTACAACTGAGATGGTGTGAGATGGAAGGGGTTATAGTAAAGAGGAACCTTATCCTTATCTTTAATATGACAACAAAAGCACCTTAAGAAATGTTTAGTACCATGTTTCCCCGAAAATAAGACCTTGTGACCATTCCCAGGGCCGGTGGTGGCATAAGGGGGAACTTGAAGAGCCGCGGAAGAGAATCAGCGGTGCCAACTAAGCCAGCGCTAGAGAAAGCGAGGCGGTAGCGCAGGGAGCAGAGCCGCATAAGCCGATGTTTTCGCTATAGCACCGCCTCCTGTCACAGGCGGAGTGATACCAAATGCACTCCGCCTGTGAGGAATCGATAGTGAAAGTGCGCTTCGCTCATTCTGGTTACCAAATTGCTCTTGGAAAGGTACCGCACCCCTGATTGCCCTGATCACCCTCTTCTTAACTTTGCCATTTTGGATGATTTAATTTGGATTTGCATTAACTTTGGATTGTTGTACATTAAAAAAAATTAAGACCTACCCCGAAAATAAGACCTAGTGTGTTTTTTTGAGCCAAAAAAATATATAAGACAGTGTCTTATTTTTGGGGAAACACGGTAATGACGATCTGCAAACACATACTTCTAGATTATTGCAGGCGTTTTTAATTCTTTGCATACCTTTTTTTTTTTTTTCCAGTCTTCTCACTGAATGAACTAAATGGCCATTTTTACTAAGGGCAGATGAATGCAATCCCTTTACTTCCTGTGACTAGGACATGTGACCATGCACATTATTCCAGGGGAAAAAATGCCTTTCCCTAAGCTCTCACAAGATTTTGCAGTTTGCAGATGAGATTTCCCAGCAATGCAGTGCTGAAGTAACCTTCCCAGGATGCATGGTCTACATCACTAATGCCTTAGTGAACCAGGAAGGGGAAAAACTGTAATTGTAAATAAAATAAAATGTTTATTTAACTAATGAATGTAAGATGATTTCATATCAGCAAGATAAGCATGCAGAGCTGCATGTTGATTTGATTTGTAGTGAAAGGGGTTAAAAGGTCTGCTTTAGGGGGGCAGGCCTTCAGTTTTCTATGTGCCTGGTGTCCAGTTCTCTTGCAGGCAGCAGTATAACCCTAGGTTGCTTAAAGTATAGGTGAACTTTGACGAAAAAAAAATGTATGCAGTCATAGTGGCGGGACTCATTAGCAGATGCAAGGCAATGCATAGGTGCTATTGGGAATATCCACACTCTGATTAAATACTTTTACTATAAAAAGAGATTTTATTTGCACAACTGTGTGAGTGCTTCAGTAAGTGAAGCACTTTTTTATAGGTTTTGTATAATAGCACTTTAGAAAAGAAGGTTGTTTGTACTTTAATATAGTTTACAAGGTTATATATGCTATGTATAATGTTATTAATATCCATGCTATTAGCTTATTTAACTAATTGCATAGAGTTGGTTTACACCACTTATATATATTTTCTGCACTACTCCTTTGTTCTCTTTAAACACTGGGCCTGATAACTCCACAAGGAATCCTCAGGCATACTGGCCTGAGCTGAAAGCAGAGTCCTGTGCTAACCAGAACAGATGGGTTGTCACTGCTGACTGTAGGATGGTCACAGAAAGAACATCAGCATACTTAATGAACAGGGAAATCCTACGCTTCTTGGTTAACTGTAGAAACTTCCAAGAGGTCAGGGCTGTTTTGGAGAGAACATCATGAACTAGGAAAACATGCGCTCATTGGCTGGCTGGAGAGACTTCCAGGATTTCAGTATTCAGCCTTAATCTACCAGCAGTTGTTGATAGTAGAAAAATCTTCCAAATGAAAATAAAACAGCATAGCTGAAGAAAACACATCCATTTCACTAAGTGAAACTGAGCAGGTATGAAGTGGTAGGAATTATAGCCTCAAGGGGGACTGGTCTTCAGTTTTCTATGTGCCTAGTGTCCATTTTCCCTGTAGGCATCAGTATAACCCCGGGTTGCCTAATGATCATCAAGCTGCATCCTTCAGTGGACGATAGAGAAACTTTGTTTTTCAGTGTTATTACAAATTATGACAAAACTGCTTTGTAACACATAAAAGTGGCCCTGTGATGTCCATTAAAGTGCATAAACCAAGACTACAGGCAAAGTTGAAGAACTTACTCTGGCCTTTAAATCCATCTCTTTGTGCTGGGGAGAAATCTGGATCTTAGTCCGAGGTTGTACATTTTATGTTAATTTGAGACTAACCCCTGTCCTTGTAATTCAACTGTCAAATAGCAGAACTTCCATGGCAGGAAGAGGCTTTGACATTTGACAGCTGAATGACAGGGGGCAGGGCTTAGTACCAAGATGGGGCAGGACTTAAAAAGGAAGCTGTGTCCAAAAAAGGTTTCCTATAACATAGCAAATCATAAAGCTTATCTCCAGGGGGGGAAACGACCCATGCAGTGGGACTACCCCTGCACTGCAAGGGTTAACTGCTCATTTATGTCTAGGGGATCTTTACTTGAGGTTAAGATTTACTCGATTCTTGCTTCCCTGGCAGTCGGTGCTCACCTCTATTCCCTGTGCTCTGACTTGTGGACCGTCTCTCGGTGTCCTCATGTATTGTATGTGATGATATCAGCTGGCCTCCGACCACTGAAACAGTGCTGGAAGGGACTGCAGGCGCCGATTTGAGAGCCTTGCAGGAGCAGGGATTAGGTAAGTAAAAGTGCTTTACACAATACACCTAGACAAAAACAAGCAGTTAAACCTTGCAGTGGTTGGGTAGACCCACTGTAAGGGTATTTTTTTTTTAACCTGAAGATAAGCGTTAACTTTTGGAATTCAGGTTTACTTTAATCTCAGCTTGCAGGTAATGCATGTAGAAGGCTGGGGTCTAGGATCCAAGGCCCTCTCAAGGCACAAAGATACTGATCAGAGTACAAATGTAGGCACTTTCAGACAGCACAGGTGCTGCATTTTACCAGTAATGTTAGTTTATACAATTTGGTGGACATCAAAGATTCACTTTTCTTCTCATTTTTCGCAAGACTGGGACAGGGCAGTGGGACAACAAACCTTTTCACCCTGTTTGATTTTTCCAGCAGTGGCTTTTGCAGCATCCACTATGACCTTTGACATTTCATGATAAAGTATTTGTAAACACACCGCATGTTCTCTACTGTTTCTAACTAGATTCACAAAGACTTTCCAAGCAGACCACATATTTTACCAAATGGAATCATAACAGAAAATCAATACTTTTTTTTTAATCAAGTCTATCTCTTGCCCTATTTTGGAGATATAAGAGGGTACAAACTTTAGGACCTGCACATATCTTCTGTCATGATTAGATACTCTTACCAGAGCCGAACTCATGTTTCTGTTACCGCTTCATGATGTGAAGCATGTTATAGAGGCTGCCTGGCTACATCACAAAAGGAAAAGTGTGTATCCTTTTGCTAAAGAGGTAAATAACAATTGTTTTTCTTACCTGTCTTAAGAGGAATGAAACAACATCTGTAGATTCCCAGTAACTGGCATGAAAAAGGTGAGGAAGGGCAACTGTGGGGAAAGCAGTAAGGGCATCTGGACAATAAAGGGCATAGTCGATTCTTTTTGTACCCCACCACTTTGCTGCAACTGAAAATGGAGATAACTGTTATTTCTTCATTCTCATAACAGAAAATGCTGATGAGGTAATGAGGAGCAGAATGCGCTGGGACTGTAAAATGAATTAATTGCCTTGAATGGAGCCATTCTGCGGGTTCAATCATGTGAATCTGCTAGGGACAAGTTTTATCATTCGAACATTAATACTAAAATGATTAATCCCAATAAATGAAAAACCAAGTCCTCCCAAACTGAACTCATCCGTTCTGGGTAAATTCCTGCACCTGTGATCTAAGATTCCATTGTATGGAGCACTTAAATGAATGACGTGCTTCAGTCTGCCATGGTTCACCTTTGGCTAATAAAAACAGGTTTAGATGTACTAAGGTCGTACAAGGTTGCATCCAACCTCAGAATGGCTGCATTCCTTCATGTGCACCCCCAGTTTGGTCAATTAAATGCAAAAGCAAATCCCATTAACCAACGTGCTTCACATGCACCTGCAGTTTCCTAATCCAGGTACCTTGTAAAATATATGCAGCGATGTCCCATGTAACACATGCACAGAGTATCCCTTATCATCTCTTAATTTAACATGCACCTCCTGATAAACCACAAAAGATAACATAATCAAAGTTCCAGCAGAGGAAAGATAAAACAAAGTAGGGGCCATTTATGAAAACTGCAGGCAAAGTGTGCTGAAATGTTACAGCAACCATCAACATTTTTTATTTTGTTTTCTCATTTTCTCAATTGCCTGTGGACATTTTCATATTTGACCCCATCCATGTCTCAGGAAAAAATGCTTTCATCGGAGAATTGTTAAAAAGAAATTATCACCAAAAAGGACTTGGTATGCTTAACTGCCCAGGCCTAAGCGGGGTAAATTTTGTTTTTTTTGGGAAGTTCAGACTGTACAGCCATTAGTGCCTAACTATTTTATCAAATTAAAACTCCAGCCAAAACTTAAAGGAGAACTATGGGGTCAGGGCTTTTCCCCATAGTTCTCCTAAAGGTCACGGGAGGACACAAACTAGCATTCTCCCGTGACCCAAAGCTCAGTATACCGCGAGCTACAGCTCGCGGCATACTGAGACGCCGCAGCCGGGACGGATCCCGACAATTATGTCTGGATCCACCCAGCTGCGTGAGTGACAGCTGGCTCTGCATATCCAGAGGCAGAGCCAGCTGTGCCCGCCCCCTCCCTCGTCCGTTTCGCCAGTCAGCACTGGAGGATCGGATAGGGGAGGGGGGAATCCCTGCAGGGAGCCGTGAGTGACAGTCACAGCTCTCTGCAGGGACATGATCGAGAAGTGAGCGAGTGACGGTATGTGTTCACTCACTTCCCGATCTACTGAGCCGACCTGTGACTGTTTCATTGTCACAGGTCGGCTCAGATTATGATACTGAGTGAAAATCACTCGCCTCATAATTCTCCTTTAAGGTGTTGTCTCATACCTCTGGGCTGTGATGCCAATTATTCTTATGTGTTTTAGTGAGTTAGGGAGCCCATTCAAATGAAATAAACAGAACGATAATCCAGGGTGGGAGGCATTCATGACCTTCCCAGCATTCAGAAGGGGATGGAAGTCTGCCTCCATCCACACCTGCTCTGCCTCCTGCCCTCTGCTATAGCCACACTGTGGTGAAGATTGTAAGGTAGGACTCTGATGTGAAGAGGGAGTCCTGATGTGAAGGTGTGGCATCTCATATGAAAGGGCCCCCTGGTGTGAAACGGGGGGCCCCTGGTGTGTAACGGGGGCCCCTGGTGTGAAACGGGGGGACTCTGGTGTGAAGGGAGTTTCTGACGTGAAAGGGGGGATTCCAATGTGAAGGGGCAACTAAGGACTCTGATGAGAAGGGGGGCTCCTGATGTGAAAGGGGGGCTTATGGTGTGAATGAGGGTCTTCTGATGTGAAAGGGGGGCTCCGCATGTGAAGGGGGAAATCTGACATGGAGAGGCTCCCTGATGTGAATGTTTTTTTTGTAGTCCCCCCCGACAATCCACACCAGACCCCTATCTAGGATAAGGATCCAGTATGGATTTTGAGGGGGACCCCACATCCACGGGTTGTCTTTTACATTTTAGACTGAGCTGTGTTGAGATTTTGCATACTTTTAAAAGGTGCAGTGACTGAATAAGGGTTGAGAAATGCTATTTTAAGAACTTCCATTTCTATGTTTTCTGTGTAAAAAAAAATAGTTTGCATTAAAACACTATTCAAGAGTCATGTGTTGAATGGTTTCAGAAACTGGTTTGTTTAGGAACGAGGAATATAATTCTACTGACAAGCAAATATGGTGCCCTAATTTTAGCACTAGATAATCAGGAATCAGAAGAAGTTGTACTTTTTGGTGATTATTTCCAGAAAGACTAGAAAAGAAAAAAATATTGTCACTGTTTTCTAATAAGCAAGATGTTTTTCAGGCAAGGTAAAGCGAAGAGATAATGTAAGAAAACACAGGGAATGCAAAATGGACTGCTGGTGCTTTTAAATATATATAAGTGATAAGAATTGTTCCCATACTTATTCCAACGCTACAGAGCCGTATGTGTTATTCAGGTTTCAAATGGGAGTCACAAATATACATGTTTTTCTACTGAAACTATAACTGAGCTCATTACAAAAAGCTGAATCAGTAAAGAGGGATGCTGCTCAAAGCAACCGAAATGTTTGTGTTCATTTCCTAACCTGAATTAGAAAGGTTATCACTTGATAAGTCTTTCTGTGCAACAGAGTATTGGTTATACACGAGCTCAGCTAAGCTAATGCAATAATCCTGTGTTATAAAAGGCCCTTTAAAAGTAATAAATGACTTTATAAAATATCAGACTATGGGTGATAAGACAATTATATGGCCAAGCCTAAACACTACATAACTACAATGCAGGGCACTTTCCAATTACACCAGGGACTAAAAAATATATACACATTCGCCTAGTCTCAGAGGGCACCATAACTACACCTAGAATCACTAGTGATGTATTCTGCGGATATGTGTAAACTTTGTGGTACCCATGTTAATAACAGAGATGCAACCTATGGCTATGGTGTTTCTACTGCAATTGTAAACACGCGGCATGGAAAGCCCAGCTCTGCGTGCCCTAAATATATTATAGGGAAGAGTATATGAGAAAAGAAGCAATACAGCTGGTTTCTTAAATGATAAACAAAAGTGACAAAACAGAAGAAAAAAAATAAGAGAAAAATATAGCATATGAAATGTAAGTGTGAGAAGTAAAAGTGTCACAGTTTTATTCCCTTTCGTCAATGGGGTACCCTTCTAGAAATGACCCTCGCACCCAATGACTCAAGATGAATGTGTTCTAACAAGGAGTTAAATCATGCTAATGAGGCCGCTCCTAGGGTTAATAGTATGAAATCCTCTTCCTAAGTAAAATACCTTTGGAGATGTCCGCACCTTGAATGCCCGGGCTGACGAAGTGCTTCCAATCTCCCACCTCTAGCATTCCTCCTATGTGACTCTGCTCAGTATGGAAGTGACTATGTTTTATGGGGGAACTTGTTTTTGTGTGAGATTTGTAAGGGAGAGCAAGCTGTGACAGAAGACTTAGCTTTTTGGAATGGTTAAGATGATTGTTTGTTTCTAAAGGAACAAAGCAAACACACCAATTAACACCACAAAACATGCAAAATCATGTCACAGTTATTTTGTCTTCCAGCAAAGGAAGTATATTTAATAATCAAACTGGATGTCTTTCTTATAGTGCTGCATGCCTGAAGCTATGTGATCTTTTTGTCTAGGTTTGTGTTATCATCACTTACTGGAAGACAAAACTGAATAAGACTACAGGCTGTAGAAAGTTTTATTTCCCAGGAAAAAGTGCGGAAAATGCTTGTGTTCTAATAAATGATTGCGGTTTCTGGGGTGACCAGCAGTGCCCAATCACAATGGTGCCCTGGCAAAGAGAAGGTTCCCAGGCCCGACAGACTAAGCAAAACATGAAATGTCTGCAATTGCAGCAGAAAACTTCCATACTTGGAAAGCTAGATAAAATCTCTTGAACAGTCGGAACTTTAATCAGTCTTGCAAAGCATTTAAACACAACAGTGGTACTATTACAAATGATTTGTGATACACAGCATCATTCTTGTTTGATAACAGACCATTTATAAGATGGATCAAAAGAATGTTCAATTGGCCTTGGCTCCAAAATCTAGCGCCACTGGTCCCAGAAAAAAATGGTTTACAGGTTTACAAGTAACTTACCATGTCATTATAATGATAAAGAGAAGCTATCATCAAAGAGTCCTGCCACCAAATGTACCTTCATAGCTCAGTCTATGTAACTGTAAAGGAATCTCTGACTTTAACAGTGGACCCCAAATGTAATAAAGCATAAGTCCAGACACAATGTTTTTTAGTTTTTGATTGAGGGAGGAAAGGTTAGCATGAGGATAACCTCTATGTAAGGTTTTCACTGCTATCCAGAATGCGTTAGATTCTGAAATTTCTGTTCCAGTGACAACAATTTTGCCAGACGAGTATTGAAAGCAAATCTGCAACAGGTAAACAGACAGCAATAAATAGCTAATGGGGTTTTCACTACTCTAAGGGGTTGAATTTTGCCTGTATTGCTGTTGGGGATTTACCTTCGCTGTCTACCCTTTCTGTCTGGTGAATCTTTGTCAACCAGACAGCAGGTGGGAATCTCTCTAACAGAGCCCCCCGGACAGCAGTAAAGTCCTTCCTCATTCTATCCCAAAAAAAACATTTTGGCTAGACCTACACTTTGATGAATTGAACCTATGTAACGTTACAATAGGAACTGATCTAGAGATACAAGACATAATTCAGTGTGACCCTTACACCATGGAATTCTTAATGCTGGTCATTACATATCTCAATGTATATCTTTAGGTCTCAAAAAGTCAGAGGCAGTCCATTAGCAATAAAGGTCTAAAATGATCTCTCTCTACAGATAATCTACACAATTGCATGCTCCATATTCAGAGATATTTCTAGGCACAGATATATGATTATTCTGCACGGACAATGCTTTTGTCATCAACTATATTACCTGGTAAGTGCGGTAAAAAGTAAAACCATGGTGAACAACCTCGGGCAGTTTTTTCTTGTTTATATGGGGCTCATTTATCAGTGTTCTACATAACATAAGAGGTATGGGGAAATCCCATCTCAATAGGAAACCCCCTTTAAACAGAAAAATGGAAGTTTTCTTTGCTGGTAGCTTCCCTTTAATTTCCAAACTCTCCCCACTAATAAGAAGCATGCAGCGTATTTGTCAGACAGAAAGACATACAAAGAAATGAAAAAGAAGGACAAATGCAGAAGTTCAGCACATTCCCTAGCGCAAAGTGTATGCTGGATTGTATGCACAATGGCAATGCAGTTATGGTAGTGACTGTACATTTCAAAGACTAGAGCAAGCTAAAAACACTGAAGAGTTACACAAACAGGAAATCAGAAGGGACAGAGACAATGCTTACATATACTTGTTTGTTAATGGAAATACAAAGAATTATACATATATGTGTCTGTCACACAGCAACTAGAGAGGAACTAAGGAGAGCTGATGAATTGCTAGTCTTCATGACACATTTAAAGCCAAGCCACCTGCTGTACCGTGCTATGTAACATGCTGGAGCGTAGTAAGGAAATACTGGAATTTGTTGTAAAGCAGAAGCATGTGGCATCTAGGAGCTGCCAAGCAGAAAATAGTGCATGTCATTGTTTATAGACACCAGTTCAGACTGCTCTACCTCTGGAAAAGTCAGAATCGTTCAAGTTATTGACTACAAGAAAATCAGGGACTTGTCAAAGTGTAGTTTTTTGTATCATATAGGGTTGTATCAATGGTGCTCATATTATTTTCATTTTCTCCTGATTCACTTCTCTGAAGATATCATCAGTGGTGATGGGCTCGGGCGTGTTCGCAGCTCCACGTGCCGAGCCCGCCAGGAAGCTGACAGCGCCAATCACAGGTACTGAGACATTTCCCAATCTCTGCAGCTGCGGACCGGGAAAATGCCTCAGTGCCTGTGATTGGCGCTGCACGCTGTCAGCTTCCTGGCGGGCTCGGCACGTGGAGCTGCGAACACGCCCGAGCCCATCACTAATCATCAGATGTCTCTCTGATTTGTTTGAACAGTAAGGTAGCCTCGATAATTTTGCACTGAAGAAAACATCATGTTTGTTTGGCTACGTTTCTGACCAAGCAGGGCAGCAGTGCAGAAGTGATTGTCCAAGGACTGACAGCGACAAACCAGGAGAATTGTGTAAACATTATTTAACCCTTCATGCAAAACTAAGCTAATATTTTAGCCTTCAAATAGTTACAGCAACCATCCTTCTAATCATTCTAATAGACCAGGTTGGTGTCTTAATCCTTCCACCTCACTGCATATTTTACAAGAAGGCTGTTACGATATCTGTAACCTAATAGGCTATTAGAGGTACTGTATCCTTGATTAGACCTGTTAGGCAACAAGGCACTTACTGTTGGCTATGTTTGAAGCCGTGTAACTGTCAGCCATTCCAGAGACCTGACTTGCAATGCTGATTTCACTTGCTCTTCTGTACCCCCTGAAGTGGGGAGCTGTTATGGGGGAGGAAGGGGAGGCATTTTCCACGAAGACTGTACCATGAAACTGAACAACATCCGCTATGAAACCGAAAACAAAAAACAACAAAAAACAGGAAAACAGGGAGAAAAACAAACAAAACAAAAAAAAATGTAAATTAAAAATTAACATCCAAACAGGACAAGAAAACAAGAATGCATTAGGAGGGATGAAGATGCCACAGCTCAGATGTGTACACTTTCAAGCATTAAAAAAACACAAAATAAGATGCATTTAATTGCAAAACCTATACAAAGACAAGCAAATGAAATATAACCCGGTGTATTTCATTCCAATGCTGGGAGAAAAAAGGGAAATGCGAAGGGGAAAAAAAAAATCACATTAGATTCCACACTGCGCTACAGAGCATTGTACAATGCAAGGTAGACCCCATCTGTGACTAACATATTTTTATATACATATATATGTACATGATACAGATATAGACACACACACAGACTTATCTATGTACACATATATACATATATAAACCTATGTATATGGGGGCATGTCATTGGTACAAAATAAAATGGCCAGGGAAAGGAAGAGGAAAATTTGGGGGAATAGCCCTGAAAGCTAAAACGTAAAAAAGCAGGGAGGTAAATACATCAGTTTCATAGGCTTCTTGATATGAAGGATAAAATCCCCAGAGACAGATACTAAAAACAGTGGACTGAAACAACACACATTGTAAAGGCCGGTCACTTTATAGGCTGTAGATGGGCAAAGACTAAGGACATATCTTATAAACCTCTGGGTAAACAACAGCTAATTATTCCCAAGTGGCTAACTCATTTATATTAATTCATGCTCCCCATTAAAACAACTGGATGCCAATGCACAATTAGGCTTAGAACGGAGGTTCACTTTTAATAAACAACTACATTAGTCCACCTTTCTAGTCCCCCAACCCAAGCTAACCTAGACCCCCCACCACCACCACCACCACCAAAAGTCACCTAGAAACCAGTAGTGGTATCCCTTAATGTTGACCCTATTTTGGCCCAAATTGTCAGTGCTGAACATACCTGCACAGTGAGCCCCCATAGACGTAAATGGGGCTGTACTCTGACCCTGGAGAATGACTCCATTCAAGTCTATAGGGGATGGGGGCACTCAATAAGGTTTATGCCTGAAGGATGTAAACAGCTGAGGGGCCATAGCTGTCATTATTAGGTAAGACAACCGATGGTTGGGGGTTTTCTAGGTTAGAGGGCTAAGTTGGGTGGACTGGTATAGTTTAAATAAAATTCAATGTGCTTTTACTTTCTCCATCTCAAGCACAAGGTGGTTTCAACGGGAAGCACCATATGAAAAACAGAATCATTCAGACAGTTTAATTTTGTGAAGCAAAGGAATGCATGCCATCTCAACACTTGGGCAAGCTGAACATTTCAGGAAATGCATGAATTCTCTTCACGTACAGCATCCCTTTCAATACATAAACAAAGCTAGAAAGCGTGATGACCCTGGTTTGTTTTGAGGTACAGCACTTTTCTAGGTAACTATTCATCTTCAATAGAATTGCATAAGTGGTCACGTTAGATGGACCAAAAGGAACCCTATAATATATTAGGAACATCTCTGCCTTCTTAATACAGAAGGTATTTATGTGTCATAACTTTCCTCAAAAATCCATAAAACAAGGGCTCTGAGTGGGTATGATGAGTGGGCATTTAAATGAGCAACCTGTATATGTGGTGGAAATAATTACATATTTACATTTTATGTAATATATAAGGCTCACTTTGAGATTTGTCTGAAACCAATTTCTAATTGCAGCTTTTTGACACAAACTTGAAAAATTATGTCACAGTTATATTCAGTGGCGTAACCAGAGTTCTGGGCGCCCGGGGCAGAAATTCCCCCCCCCTGGCACTGCTCTGTGTCCCAGCGTGGATCAAAGTAATCACGGCTGCGCCGGCAAAACGGCAGGAAAATGTCACTTTCGGCATTTAGCCGAAAGTGCCATTTTCGGCCGGCGCCCCCCCTTCACTTTTCGCCTGGGGCCCGCGCCCCTGCTGCACCCCCGATTGTTACGCCACTGGTTATATTGTTATTTTGGAATGGCAGAAACACCTAAATAACAGAAAATAGACGATTTACAAGGGCCCAAGCTCATGTATTCTCCAATCTCCAAGTGTATTTAAACCCAAAAACAAAAATGCAATATTTTGCAGCTTTAGACCCCGTTCACATTGAGCGATTTATCGCGCGGTATTTCCCGCGATATCGCAGCAAATTACTGCGCGATATCGCGCTCCAATGCAATCCAATGGGGCAAAGGGTCCTGCTGTCGCGGGTCGTGTGTCGCTACAGCAGGACCCTTTTTGGAGCGGATTTAGCCACGATTCAAGCTTGCTCAATGCAAGCTTGAATGCGACATCGCGCGGCAAATCTCGCGATGTCGCGCAATATGCAAATCGTGCGACAAACGCGCGATTTGCATATCGCGCAGTGGGAACGGGGCCTAATAGTCCTTGGGTGTGGTGGTTGCATTAGCGTTCTTTTTTCAGGCCTTCAGACCTTTATTTTCACTTGATCCTCCAAATAACACTTCCTGTCCCTTCGCATCTACACATTTTTCCCCCACTTTATCTATGGAGGGAGCCATGGTTGTCATACAGGCTGGACTTCTAATACAGTATGTCTGCCTTTGCTTATCACCTTTAACCACTTGAAGACCAGGTGTTTAGACCCCCTTCCTGGCCAGGCCATTTTTCAGTGTTCAGCGCTGTAGTACTTTGACTGACATTTATTCCGTCATGCAACGCTCTACTGAAATTAATTTTATACAGTTTTTTGGAGACAGATAGAGCTTTCTTTTGGTGGTATTTAATCACTACTGGGGGTTTTATTTTTTACTATAATAAGGAGAAATTACTGAAAATTTTGAAAAAAAAAAGTTTTTTTTTACATTATGTTATAAAACAACTAATATTACCCACTTTTTTGGTAAAATATAAAAGACGGGTCACGTCGGGTAAATAGACACCAAACATGTCAAGCTTAAAAATAGCGCGCACTCGCGAAATCGCAAAAAACTAGCATACCCAAAATTGCCCATAGGCGACACTTTAAACGCTTTTACAGCTCATCAGTTTAGTGTTATCAGTGATTGATGGCCCTAGAACTATTGCTTTCATTCCGTTCGCGGCGATATGTAACATGTGCGGCGTAATGGGCGCAATCGTCGTTTTCGCAGGTATGCGCACTTTGTTTACATGCGTGCATGTAGGGGTGGGGACTTTTTTAAAAAAATGTTTTTTTTAATTCTTTTTTATGTGTAACTTTTAAAAAATTGGGAGGGAAACCTTAATTTTTTTTTCTATTTTTTTTTCTCGCTTAACTTTATTGCTATCACAGAGAGATCTGCTTCATCAGCTTCTCTCCAGCATCTGAAGCTGGAGAGTGACACGAGAATGCGGATGTGACAGCTTGACAGCGGGAGGGGGGGGAGGGGGGAGCCACGGAGGGGGGGGCGCGCGTCACAGGACCTCATACAAGCGATCCACCGGCTCTATAGCCGGCGGTTCGTTTGTATAGTAACGGGCATCGCTGCCTGTTTTAAAATAACCGGCATTTCCCACTCGCGCGCGCCGCGCCCGAGCGGGTGGATGTAACAGGACGCGTATACACGCCCAGTTACATCCAAGAAGCTCCTGGCCGGCCGTGTTTACACAACGGCCGGCCGGGAGGTAGTTAAATAATGGATTAAGTGGGATTATGTGAATTGGGATTAGTAGTTTACAAAAGAAAGATATTTGTGCTTTCTTTCAGTTAACAGAAAATGACACTGGAAGTGACAAGCACACAGCATTTTTGACAAAATCAACAGGTATTTTCTATACTTGCTGAAAATGTTGTTAGCCTGAAGAAAGAAAATGAATGCAGCCACCATCTAATGACTTGGTAAACTGCAATATATTTGCTCTCTTTAAATGAAACCCATTATGAGCGAAACAGAGAGGCTGTGTTTGCTGACCCCTCTTTCTAAAAATACAAGTTGCCTGGCTGCCATGACAACCCTCTCTCTTAAATACTTTAAATCACTAACCTGAAACAAATGTGCAAGACTTTCCTTATTTATATACTTGTTCCAAGTCAGTAATTCAGAATATAGAGAAGCCAGAGGGCATAGCAACCAGACAAATACCATATTGAAAAAGAGGTCAGCAAAGGCAGTCCCTATATTTCTCATATATTGTGTTTACTGTAAGCAGCCTCGGATGGTTATGGGCTTTTTTATGATCTGAAATAGTTGTGGGCTCATGAGGGAGGCACAGTAAAGCACAGAATAAAAATAGGTCAATGCCTGATAAGTGGCTTTTAGGACCGCTTCAGATTTTAATTTCCTATACATCCATATTACACAAGTTATGTTTTTCCACTTGGAGACTAACATAGAATGCACATGCCATTGATTGATATGTTGCCGTGAGAGTCAGTGTTTACACTGTCTAAATCAATCCTTTAGCTTGGCCGTGGCTCATGTCAGATGAAATGCTTTCTATGCTACACGCCTAATAGAGACGCAAATTGTAACCCCCCTGGATTAAACGTGGGTAACTCCTGAAACAGCAACAAACATTTCAGAAAATAATATATGGACATCTAAGATGGACTGTACACTACTACCAATGTCATACTCACTTTAAAAAAGGTTCTCTGGTAGAAGCCCCTCGCTACACACCTCTTTGGGAACCTAAACTGTTCTATTAGGTAGAAGTGCAAGATATATGCTCTGTACTGCTGTGGATACAGAGGTGGTAGGGACTACTCTCTGGCTGACAGGCTGGTGACCTGCAGCAGCTAGCAGCCCTCTTCGGAAACATGTTCATTAAAAGACTAGTGGCTATAGTATATTTCTACTACTTTGAGCTATTGCAGACGGGATTAAGAACCAAGGCTGTACAAACTAGAAACTATATTAAATATTTAAGATCCTGTAAACGAAAAATAAATTATTAGACACTATCACAGCTCATTCTTGTTAAAAGTAATCTGATTATGTACAATCACTATGCATTAATAATAACAATTATTATTAATTTGTTTTAAAATCTTGAACAGAATGCTCAAACTACCTGATCATTAAAAAGGAATTTTACACAGTGATAAATTAATATAAATTGGTAGTTGCATAGCAAAACACATGACATGAGACATATTTGCATGTTGAAGAAAAGGTGATACCAAATACATGAGATATCAAAAAACAAATGAAGAGTTGTGTCAACACGTTGTCCTATGCACAGAAAATATGGAGGAACAATAAAAACAACAGCAGCAGTAATGGGAAGCTACTCAAGCAAGTATATTATTCTCCCCAGCTTGCTCTACCTGTTTTTTTTAAATCTAAAACCATGCAAGTTATAGAGCAAGACAAAGCAGTTCATCAAATCCTACTTGGAGCACTTAAACAGAAAGCTTTTCCAAAAAGTGTTCAGTTTCACAATCTATCCACGTACAAGTAACCTCAAACATTAAATGTACATATGAGGCACCTGTTAGCAGCAGTTCATATAAATCATGTTGATTTTAACTTATATGCATTAAAATAATCAGGAGCCACAAATTCCATAACTGGCACCTCTTAAATAGAATGGTAATACAAGAATGTAAACAGATATAATGAAAAGTTACACTGGCAGTACAGCCTTTTCTGTCTTATGCTTATTGACAACACTTTGTAGAAAAGCTTTCAGTTCAGGATGTGCATGATCACACAGTAGAGAAGCAAAGACAATAGAAAGGGAGGATACACACATTCAGCACAAGTGGTAGCTTTACTGGAAGTGTCTTGGTAGCTTAGGACGGGAACAGGGATACTGGTTTCCATGATGCCATCTTGACGCTGGAGAGCAACTGCTGGGCTGCCTTCCATTAGAAGGAAGGGGTTGTTCTGTATAGCCTCGACTGGATGGAGATGAAAGGGAGACAAAAACAAGACAAAACGCTACAAACATTTAACCAGACAATGTCACAGAAAACATACATTCCATCAAGAATGTTCATGAAACAATATATTATATATATTATCCATATTATCCATTATTGATCATTTTGATTATTGAAAATTGATCCATATTATCAATTTTCACGTGACTAAACTTCAGCAAAAATGTTTACTCTAATTTGGATAGAATGGGAAAGAGTAAGAGAGTTTGTCAGGTATTTATTGCTGTCCCTAACGCTCTTGCGGAGACTTCTCACTTCCTGCAAAGTAATGGGAAATCAGAGCCATAGAAAGCAATTAAAACAGATTTGAACTCTTTCCCACTTTATTTGAAACTAAAAAAACAAAAACAATATCAAATGTTTGGAATTAGACTTTAGGTATAGGCTAAGGCTTTAGATTGAATTCCCTTTAAAAATCTTGACAAAAAACCTTCTTCCAAGTAATTTCATAATGTGGGATGGGTAACTGGGGAGGCGTATGTCTAATATTGTAACGACTTCTGCAGTGTCTCTTGAACGGCCACCCTAAGTTCCTCCCACAATCTTTTACCCCTCAAGCCGACACTGTTTTAGCCTGTTATAATTTTGGGTCAGCTTCTTTGGCTTTATCGGGGATAACTTACATAGTAGGTAAGGTTGAATAAAGACACATATCGCTCTAGCTCAATCTATATAAGAGTGTGTGTGTACACATCACTAGTAATTCCATAACCCTGTACATTCTGTGTAATAACAAGGAATGGATCACCAGGGGAACCTGTGCACATTCAAAATAATGCTGGATATACACAATGATGCTGCAGAGTAAAGTATCATTTCATTGACATGGTTCCCCTATTACCCTCCAACCACAACTAATCTAATAATTCTTAACACATAGGTGTTTCCAATCTCCTGTAATTTCTACTAAAGATACAGTCATGCATTTTTACACTGTCCTGAGATACAATAGGCTGGTCTATTAAGGCTTTAAATGAAATTCCCTTTAAATGCTTTAACAGAGAACCACTTCAAATGTGGGGTAAGTGACTAGGGAGGCCTAGGAAGGGGGTTGTTGGGAAGGAATTGAGAGTAGATGAGTACCATCTCATTTGAACCCAAATCCGACTAATAGATAAGTGTAGCACATACATACACATTCAGTCAGTCAAGGCCCACTATGCAGCCTAGTAGCTTCAAAGGGACATATGGGGCTGGGGGTGCCTAAACAGTGCATAGCACTGTTGTTACCTTAAAGCATTTAAGGTCAGGTCAGATTTGTATTTCACTTAATATAAAAAACACGCCACACAATCATTGAGCAGAAAGAAGAATAGGATAAAATGTGTAGAATGCTACTAATCTCAGAGTTAAAGCGAATGCGTTTGTTATTTGTTTAGATTGTTGTTTCGTATGTATACCATTACAATTTGATATTACGTTGTAAAAAAGCTATATTTAAATGTCTTGCAACTACAACTATTGGAATTAGTCTGTAAAGATTAGAGGAAGACCACAAGAAAAAAACATTTTTCTGTAGCCAAAAGCATTCGTTCACTTTGAAGCTCAGTAATAAAAGCTGAACTGAAAGTGGTTGCTACAGGCTACTGAACATAAAAACAGAATGCAGCAATATGTATAATGTGTGTGACAGATAAACAGAAACTATTTCTATTAACGCCATTTCTGGTAAACTTTTATGACAGCACCACTGTGATAGACTGTCCCCACCTCATTGGGAAAGAAGGCAGAGTTGAGAGTGAGTATCTGAGGATAAAAATATGAGTGCTGCCTTAGTTGACTTTGTTTTGTAAAGTGCAAGCTCCACAGCAATCATTTTTGATCCTTGCTTTACTACTTAATGAATTAGACAAGAGTTCAGACTTTACTGGAAGTATGCCTGACCCAGGCCAGGATGTTACTAAAATTAGGATGACAGCCCAGGAGCTTGCATGTTTTAAAAATAAGTCAGCAACGGCAGATTTTTATATACAGTGCTCAGCGTAAATGAGTACACCCCTTTTGAACAGTAAGATTTTAATCAGGATCTCAGTGAACACAAGAACAATTTCCAAAATTTTGACAAAGCCGAGTTTTATAGAACATTTGTTTAGTTCATTACATGAAAGTAAGGTTAATAATATAACTTAGATTACAGAATCTTCAGTTTACTCAAATTAGGTGGAGCAAAAATGAATACACCCCACAACAAAAACTACAACATCTAGTATTTTGTGTGACCTCCATGATTTGTAAGGACAGCCCCAAGTCTTCTAGGCATGGAATGAACAAGTTGGCGACATATTGCAATATTTATCTTTTTCCATTCTTCAAGAACGACCTCTTTTAGAGCCTGGATGCAGGATGGAGAGTGATGCTCAACTTGTCTCTTCAGAATTCCCCATAGGTGTTCGATTGGGTTCAGATCAGCAGACATACTTGGCCACTGACATACTTGGCCACTGAATCACTTTCACCCTGTTCTTCTTCAGAAATGCAACAGTGGCCTTAGATATGTGGTGGGATCATTGTCATGTTGGAAAAGTGCACGACGACCTAGGGCCCGGAGTGATGGTAGCATCTTCACTTTCAGTATAGAGCAGTACATCTGTGAATTCATGATACCATCAATTAAATGCAGCTCCCCGACACCAGCAGCACTCATGCAGCCCCACAGAAGGACACTGCCACCACCATGTTTCACTGTAGGCACCATGCATTTGTCTTTGTACTCCTCACCTTTGTGACGCCATACAGTTTTGAAGACCTCAGTTCCAGAAACATTGATCTTTGTCTCATTACTCCAGAGTACAATGTCCCAGTAGTCTTCTTTTTCAGCATGGGCCCTGGCAAATTGTAGGCAGGCTTTTTGTGTGCATAGGCTTGTAGAGAGGCTTCCTTTGTGGACGACATCCATGCATGCCATTCCTCTGCAGTGTACGCCGTATTGTGTCACGGCAAAGTTTGGCTTTCTACTTCTTTAGCTATCTGCAGTGAACTTGCGTGGCGATTTTCTTCAACCCTTCTCATCAGAAGACGTTCCTGTCGAGGTGTTAACTTCTGTGGACGGCCTGGGCGTCTCTGTGAGATGGTTGCAGTTCCATCTTTGTTACATTTTTGCATCACTTTTGCTACACTATTCTGACTGATAAGTAAAGCTTTGCTGATCTTGTTGTAGTCTTCACCTTTCTTGTATAAAGCTATTATTTTCTTTCTCAGGCCTTGTGACATTTCTCTGCCATGTGGTGCCATTGCTGACAGCATGAAATGGGAAGGGGTTTTCTTTGTTAGGTAATGCCCTTTTATAATCACCTGTCTGCTGAACACCTGTTTAATGAATCATTATACTCACCGGTAGTTGAATTCTTGTTAATTAGGATTTTGTTGTCTAAAATTTAGCTTTGCTTCTATAACTTTCACTGGGGTGTATTCATCTTGAATGAATTTGTTAGGAAAAATACTTTTTCGTTTGTGCAAATTAACAAATCTTGTTTGCAATCAATGGCCCGCATTTGTGGGAGTAATTTGTAGTATAGAGCCCCATAGAAAATGTTCATTCTGAAAGGATGTAAAGGTTTTCTGAAAAATCTGTTGGGGTGTACTCATTAAAGCTGAGCACTAATATATTAATATATATATTTTAAAAAATTCACAGGTTCACCTGAAAAGGCCCTTCTCCGTGTTTTCCAAGTAACAAATGTCTAAATTTTTATAATAAGAATGGAATCATCTAAATTATCATGGACGAAAAGGAATTGCCAGTAACTGTAATTCTAGATTTAACTGTTATTCTTCCATGACAGCATTGGTTTTGAAGATTTGCCAGTTAAAAACTTAGATATGAATACATAAATTCCTATGACTGAAGCAGTTAGAGCAGGTGTGAAGGCTGGCAAGAATAATTATGCACCCTGCGTATCTAGGGAAAAGGCAAATTAAACCCTGAATCAAATGAGGCATCAAGGAAATGGAATAATTTTATAGAGCTTAATATGATTAAAATATTGTCACAAGCACAAATAATACAGCACCACATTTTGTACCACACACAAATAAGTAAACAAAGTAAGCATTTTAAATGGAAATTGGGAAATATTTAGCAAAACCAAGAATAAAAAAAATAAATGCTAATCGAGCAAAAAGCAGACCTTTGCCAGACCATCTGATGGACAGTAAGAAAAACCTCAAGACTTGGAAACATTTTTTAACATATTTGTACACAATGATACTAGTTAGTGCATGATGTGATTAACAAGTTGCTTGATTGGTGTATAACTACTAGAGACTAAGGCCTCTTTCACGGAGATAGCGTCCATTCCGATCAGAATGGGATCCATGCACAGATATCCTGCTGATTGGAGCAGTATGGAACAGATGTCCCTTTTGTAACATCCGTGTCCATTCAATTTTATCCTCAATCTTGCAATGGAGGAAAAAACTGAACTTACCGGACCCATTTTGGGTCTATGGGCAGTTGGATGTAAGTGAACATGTGTCTGTTTACATCTGATTAGCTCTGATCCATCATGTTCAGGTCCACCAAAACAGAACACTGTTCTGGTTTTTTATTTTTTTATTTCCAGACCTAGATGGACTTGGAGACCTAAACAGACATGTGCTTACATCGGATTCCTCATAGACTAACACTGAGCATCCAACCAGGTCCGCCTGAAAAACTGACAGGCAGATCTTATTAAAATATGTGAAAGAGGCCTTACATAAATTTGTGCAGAAAAAAATGACTTGTAAAGGTGCCCATACACCTGCCGATTATCGTACAATAGTTGTGGGTGATCCCGCAATCGTACGATAATCGGCAGGTGTATGGGCAGCGTGCGACCTCATCTACTGTACGGTCGCACGACTTTCATCTTCCTAGCGCGCTGGAAAACCTGCCGAAAATCGTACGATTTTCGGCGGGTTGGTAGCGTGCTTGGCAGATGAAAGCCGCAAGCGCACACTGCCCGCTCAGCACTGCAATCATCGGAAGTACGATCAGCCTGTCCAAGATGGGCAGGTCGTACGAAATTTTAATGACCTTACAACCATCGCACAACGAAAGTCGTGCGATGGTTGTAAGGTGTATGGCCAGCTTAAGACAACACAAAAAAATAGCCTATTCTGCACCTATTAAATATGAACTCCAGCTAAAAAAAATTCTGAGCCCAGGCTGCCAAGGACAGGTCCCCTGGCCATGCATCATCACTCCTGTCTCCTCTGAATGGCGCTCACAAATCATTACATAACTGCTTTTCAGTGCAGCAGTAATGATCGGCCACTATCTGAAAAATGAAAGAGGTAAAGCTGGGGGTGTCTTTTTTTTTTTAAGACGACTTACGGTAGGACTGAAATCCCATCAGGTTTTTACTTCTGTCTGAGACCCCCATTGGGGATATTTTCCTTACATACCAGAAAAGGGCAGGAAGGCAGGAACCAGGTCAGGAAGGCAGGTGCACCAATAAAAACATTGTCAAAAGTGCTGAGCCTTCCCTGTTCTACCTAAAATGTGTTTTTGTTGCTGTCTGTATCCCTGTATCCCTTTTGGAGAGATTTCCCTACACTTTCTGTCCTCAAATCTTCCCAGTAGGGACACACGTTGCAATAAAATCCTGACAACGGCTCTAACTCTTCTCCAATCCTCTTTTTATAAATGCTAGTTGACTGGCTACCATGCTGATCTAATAGCTGCAAAGGTTTCTGAGCTGGAATAAGCAGTTTTCTGATTTGACTGCATACTTTACTCAAATCATTGCCAGTCAACCAGCATTTACAGAAAGAAGTGAGTAATAACAACCCATGTATTTCTCATAGAACAGGTGTCCTTTACAATTCAGTACATATTGGTCATCATGGTGGATTACAAGAAAGAACAGAAATCCAATTAATAAAAAAACTAGACTGGGCACAGCTCTAAAACTGGATAAAGATTAGATTGTATAGGGGCTGAACAAAATTTTTTTACTTGATTCCCCCATCCATGCTCAAGAGCATGGATGGAGGAATTCCCCTGCCAGCTATTGTATTTAGGCAGTGGATACCCACTGCTGTCTGAATACCCAAACAGTGACTGCATCTGATCGGTTGCAGTCGCTGTTTGCCCAACAATTTTACACCCGGCTTCAATCTTTTAGTTGAGTCTTGTTTAGCGGGGTGGTGCTAACGATGCTGAGCGTCGGGCAAAGCCAGTGGCAGCTCAAATTTCAGCTGATTCAGGTGGAGTCAGCCAAAATTCAAGCCCTGTATAGAGAATTTAGGTTGGCCTGAACACATATACAGCTGCATGTAAGAACGCTGGTACATTCATGGATCAATCTGACTGGCCCTCAAAATATCAGCAATGCCATTCTTGGAGACTCGAAGGTCTGGAAATTTCCACAACTTCATTTTTAATCTCTGTTGATACAGCAGAAGAGCTGGTACACCTGGTCCATCCTGTGGGCAGTAAAAAGCTCACCCAACATTAACAGAAGAATCAATGTGTATGTTAGGAAAAGAGGAATGTCTCAAATATGTCCAAACATTCCCTTGTGTATGGCCAGGTTAAGGGCCTGTGAAGATGGGTGTTGATAGATAAATGTAGCATACCTTTGACCTTAAGGGCTCATTCACACTGTAATCGGCCCGCACGTACAGCTCTGTGCTGCGTGCACGGCCTTATCGGGCAGCTCCCAGGAAGGACAGGTGCTGCGTTTGATTAGTACACAGCCCCTGCCCTTCTCTACCCGCCCTGCACCCCTATGGACCTGCACTTGAGGTGAGCGCAGGGGGCATGCGGCCACGTAGTCCCATAGAGAAGGACGGGGGCTGTGTACTAATCTGTCCTTCCCGGGAGCTGCCCGATACGGCCCTGCACGCAGCACGGAGCTTTACGTGCCGGCCGATTCCAGTGTGAATGAGGCCTTAGTTTGAGACACTTCTGAGATCACTCAGGATTAATTGCAGGTGCAGTTGAACTATATTTGAAGAACATGAACTGCTTTTGCAAACCCATAGACTTGTAATGGGGAGAGAAGCAGTTATAAAGCAAACAGAAGGCTCACCCAGACCCTCACGCTTGTCCCTAGTGCTAGGAATGAATAAACCGCTTGGTCCGGCAAAAATGACTGTCTTCACTCTGTTTAGGCTGTGGTATAACTACCATTTAGGTTTTGAACCCTACTTACTGGTGATCAGGAGAAAGTTGTAGCTAATAAATGTTTAAGGCAAAACAGATCTCGTATTGTCTAGCTGCTGGCTGTGTTTTCTCAGTTATTTTTTTTAAAGCTATGTCCAGTTAGTTGGCACTAACGATAAGCAAGTATCTATGAGAGGGCTCCTATGAACCAGTACTGAATATAGTCTATATCCTTTTGCTTTAACTCAAGTATTAAGTCATAAGCTAACTGCTTGTATACACAGCTAATTCTAGGCTTTGCTACACATCATCTTGTATGTAGGCGCAAACACTTGCTTATCTTGTTACAAACATACTAAGAAAACCTGGTGACAAAGTCGCCACTTACCCAAGAGGGCGGAGTTGCCATCTCCCAAAGGGAATCTCTGGTATCGAGGGATATTAAAGGGAGGCAGCAGATGGAACTTCTTTTCTAGAAGTGGCTCTACACGTGAGGCAGAAGGATCAGCTGGGTGGAAGAGGTTGTAAACCTGCTGGCAACCAGGTCGGAGCTGGTAAACTGAAAATGACAAACGACAATTCACAGGATGAGTATCGCATAGGAAAAGAATTATTCAATGGCAAGGTCAAATTCATTATAAAGCCAGAAGGATAAGTACTCGTTATTGTGGAAACACAAGAACACAATACTTTTCAGGTCTGCCATACAGTATATACTGCACTGACTTTAGCAAACTCTGTTACACATTTTAAACTATGTCTGTGTTTTAGGCCTTGCCTGCATTGTATTAGAAGTTGATGTAGGCCTTGCCAGTAAAACATTGTGCTAAGTGGGAAGTCCTGCCTTTACTATAATCCCATAATTATAATCAGTTTATCATTGCTATTTGAAGCATAAGAGATAGTTGAAGCCCATGCTGCAGAGAATGCCTGTAATGTGACCTGAATCTCTGTGTAGACTACTGGGAAAAGCAGAAAGCCAATCACATGAGTGGAGGGAATGGAAATTCTGTGGCATCTGAACATGAAAAGAGGTACTGTTGATACTGTTGCAATAAAAACTGAATTTTTGGCTGTATGGTTTTAGTATACCATGGCTGGATGAAGACTGTAAAGATACCTTTTAATACCATTACAAACTGGTTTAATTTGTAACTATATATTTGACATTGTACATGGGGCAATGATTTACAAATCAGTACAGTTCAGTGCACATTTTTACCATTTTCACTTCTTTATTATACTGGATGCAAATCTCCAAAGACATCAGCAGTATCAGTAATTGGAAACCGATGAGAAATAAGTATACTAGAGCTATATTAAAAATACTTGCAAAGTACTGTCTTACCATAAAAACCCTTACATGAATAAATGCAATGCTAATTCAAGGCAGCAGCCTGGGAAAATCTAGTCATCATACACAATACTGGATTTTTTCATTTTTGACTGATCTTTTTACATTCCATTTGAAATACAAATACATCAGGGAGTCCAGCTACATTAGTATGTTTATATCATACTTACTGTCAAGGGCTGGAATCACTGTTTTCCTCAGAGCCAACACTAGTCCAAGAGGAGAGCCAAACATGAAGAAGTCTGTAATCTCAAAGTCAAACTTTCCAATGCTGCCTCCATCCAGCATTGTAGAGCTGCTTGACCTTCGAGACCCAGGATCATTTCTGAGGACACTTGCATGTAAACTGGAAACAAACAGAGATGCTTTATGGAAATACTGCATGGTACTGTACTATTTCAAGACCACTTTCATTGCAGATTGGTTGAGCATTGGCAGGTTACATGGTTAAATAGTTAATGAGGTTGAATAAAGACACAGGTCCATTAAGTTCAACCTACGTGAATATGTGTATGTATGTGAGGGAAGCATTAAAATGGTTCTTGAATGAGTCAATACTCTTAGCTGATACCACTGCCTGGGGACGAGAGCTCCACAATTTTACTGCTCTTACAAAAAAGAATCCCCTTTGCTGTTTAAAATGAAACCATATTTCTTCTAATTTCATGTGGTGGCCTCTTATCTTCTTGAGTAGACTAACAGTAAACAGTCTATTACTGAGTCTACCATCCCCATTAAACAATTTGTACATTAGTATCATGTCCCCTCTTAATCTCCTCTTTTCCAGTGTGTACAAGTTTAATGTTGGCAATCTGTCCTCATTGTTTTGGCCTTCTAACCCCTCTATTAGTTTCGTCACCATTCTCTGGACTTTCTCCAGCTCAAGGACATCCTTTCTGTGGATCGGTGACCAAAATTTAACTGCATACTCCAGAAGAGGCCAAACAAGTGTTTTGTAATGCGCCAGAATTATCGATTCTTAGTTAGTAGCGTACATGCATATTTTTAACCCCAAAATAACGTTACATTATTACAGTCATTACATTACCATTACCCTTAGACTTGAAAGACCTCTCATGTATTTGAATACTTTAAAGTGTATTTAAACCCAAAAAAACAAATAATATACTGCTTGAATGCGGTGGCAGTTCAAATGTTAACTGGATGTCTTTCTGACCACAATTAACAGGTTTATCACGGTTACTGATCCAGGTAATTTATGTGACAAAAATGAATGATACATTAACAGCTGAGGGAAGTATTTGTTTTGCTTTCTTCTAGATCAACAGTACATTTCAATTATATTTACTTTATTACTATATGTATAGCTTCATATTCCATATGACTCTGTATGGCCACACTAAGGATTGGCATAAGAAACTTTATAAATAGGTAAAAGGCTATTTACCTATAATGTCCTCTTGTGATTGATTTCAACATCATTTTATATGAACAACATATCTTCAAATAACTATCTATTTTTTTAGATAAGATATTTAATTCAAATCAAAGAGAATTTCTTCTGGCAGAAGGCCACATTGACTAAGCCATCCTACATATAAGAGGCCTTAGGCATCAAGCCCATAGCTACAGTAAATGTAAAAAATAATAGCACAACTGACCTATGAAAACAAATATAAATGACCACATGCAATCTACATTTATAGACATTCTTTTAGCAAAGCCATTTGTGTATACACACATACCTAGAGAGAAAAGCTTGGTGCTGCTTTATTGTGTCCAGCTCATAGGTTGAGGAGTCACTTCTCTTACGAGGAAGCTGTTTCTTTGGGTCTTCACCATTGCTCCGAGGTATGTCTATGTTGCTGCGGCTTAAGTGTCGACTAGTCTCTAGATTTGAACTGCTAGAGCAATAACTGTTGTTAACACTGATACCTGGAGATAAGAGATCTGTATCCTAGAAGAAAAAGTAGGAATGTCAAAGAGCAAGATATCTATCTATCTATCTATCTATCTATCTATCTATCTATCTATCTATCTATCTATACACTGTGAATGTATTGTTATTGTTGTGTAAGAAGGGACAGAAGCACAAGGAGTGCTTCATTTCCGTTCGATTGTAATGATCTATTTAAGTTTTAGATTTAAGATGGCAAAAGTCATTAAACAGTGCTTGAATTCTTGCAAGCATTTTATGGGGACAAAGGTCCAGTGACCCTGTCTGCTTCTGTTAAATCTTTTAGAAAGGTCATCACATGTACCCATGGAGGATCTGTCCATCTGTATCTGAAGGTTTATTCATGTACGAATATGTATAGCAACTCCATACTGCAAATCCTATGAGCCTCCTAATATGAATTGATCCCAAATGAGCTTTCAGAGAATGGCTTGATGTTTATTTGCCATAGTGCTATTATGGAGTAATTCAATCGGCTTCATCTAATGTAATCTGTTTGTGAGAAGGATATTACTTGATGAAGCCAAGCCCTTAAGTCCTCATTTGTTAGAATAGTAACACAATATTGTCTTTTTTTGGTGCAGTGCCAAAAACCTGTTCCTTTAGTGCATGTATTACGCATCAGCACGTCTACTACAAAGCCGGTCTTACTCATAGAGACTGTCGGACTATTGGTAATTTGCCACAATCATGTATGAGGCCTAAACAATCATAACGTAGTTGTCATTTTCACATGGGAGCTGACAGGTCAAAACATTAGGCTAGACTAATTGTGATGTCTTCTGATACACACCCAGACAGGCAGGCTCTGTCCTGTAGTATGTACTGTATACATTACTGTGTAGACAATAAGAGACGATAGCTTGATAAGGCCAGAGCAAGTAAACAAGGCAAAGGTCAGATTGTTTCCAAACAACTAGGTCCTATTGTGCATTGCCAGTCCAAATCCTGTCACTTACTTAATTGTTCTATAATCAACATATGTGGGACAAGGAACATAAATCCATGTTATAACTCCGCTTACTATATGATGTCACCACTACAGCCACATGACCATGCACGTGCTCATGTGGCATGCAGTGGGCCTTGCATGAATATGCAAGTCCCATCAAGATACAGTGCCAGAGTCACACTGTGATCTATTGCAATAAAATATATTAAAGAAAAGTGTCAAAAATGGGATTCAGAAGCATCATAGGTTTGACTTCTTTAAGGCACTGTAAAAACAGTTGTCTAGCACACAAATGTTAAATCTACTATTCGTCAAATAGAAACAGTATTGTATGCGATACCTGAACACTCACAATGCTTCCTCTGCGGCTGCTATTCTGACTTTCAGACACAGTCTGATTGCTGTAACATAAGGCATCAAATCCCAAAATTCCTCCAACACAGTCGCCAACTAAACACACCTGTAAAGAAAATAGAAGATCAGATTTTAGGTGCTACAGCTCCAAGCAGAAGAGTGAAAAGGTAGACTGTCAGGGGCCCAGTAGTATCTATACTGATCAACTTTGTTTCATCATTCTGTTGACTCTATTGTATAATGTCCACTGGTTACATTTTGGAGCCTGATTTGTACACCAACTTTGTCAGGGAACTCATTTATTCTTTATGCTGACTGTCACTACTGCTTTGTACTGTGGTCACTGACAAAGCCGATGTTAAGCAAAAAGGAAAATTCACAAATCAAAAATGCAATTTGCATGTTATGATGAAAGATGTCGCTGAGCAGATAAACTGGTCCAAAGTCTAAAACCGTGCTTGAAATGCCCTGTTTTACAGTGTTAACCAGTGGACCTGACTGCACTTTGATTCTAACCCATTTTCAGTTTATTCCTGGCCCGTGATTCATCACTACATACCTTCAATGCCCATGTAAAGCAAATCTGCTTAATGTGCATTTTATGTTGCCCGTGAGCGCAGTTAAGTGCTGTGCCCTGGTTGTCTCCTATATGTCACCAATATATAGGACTTACCAACACAAACACTCTGAGCAGTTTACATGGGTAGAAGAATATTAAAGGTTCTGTTCAAAAGAAGACCTGTGGCCACCTACATATTTAGTTACTAAGAGGAACAGAAAATTCTGGTTGCCTGAAAGTCACACCAATCCTCTGGCTTTAATATGTAGAGTTGCTGATTTAGAACAAGTATGCAGATAAATACTTCCAACTTTACTCTTGCACTCCTGATCTGCATGGTTGATCCAGCTCAAGAATGGCCATGACAGGTTTTCTTTAGATGCAAGGGCTGCTGGGAAAAGTGCAAGGCATCACAAACAAAAGCTGTTTTCCTGGCTGTAATACACATCCACAGATCAGTTGTTTTTTTTTGCATTTCGGAGCAGCTATCCTGAATCATGTGACCCAAATTTTGAGAGATAGTTAAAACAAGGAATAGCTCTTTAAATAATTTATTTCTTCAAACCTTGTGATTACCTAATGTCTATAAGCTATGCTTTTTAAAGAAGCTCAAGAGTTCAAGTGTGGGAATGAATTCTCAGTCTGTGTTGACACAAACAATCAAATCAAACCTGCACTAGATAATAAATGATATGTAAGCCTAGAGTAGGCCCAGAAAGTAGAGTTTAGTGGAGTACTAAACCCTTAATCCTATGAATTATTTCATCTCTTTCCTTTTTACATAAGATACCTGGCCCAAACAGCTACATTTGAGGGATACCAGAAGAGGTGGACTATAATGACGTACTACTGCTATTGACTGCTCTGGGGTGCATATGGGACATTTTCTCTTGTTCAATAGTCATAGCTGCAGCATGCTCATTAGCAGAGTTGCAGTCCACTTGTCACCTGCGGGCAAGGAGGGAGGAAGCGGCGGTCAGCCGCTCCTTCGCTGGGTCGATTGCGTTCCCGGGTGAAGCGCACGCTCCTCATTTCCGGGTTTCGGGACCGCGTGCGTTCCACCGTGGAACGCGGAAGTGCGCCGAGACGTCCCTCGGCTCCTCCTGTCCATCAGTGGCCTATTTAAACGCCCAGTCGAGACAGCATGGCGTTCCAATATTGAGCCAGAAACGCCTGCTGTCTCCTGGGACCCTCCACAAGCCTCCAGATTGTGCCCTCCAGCATACCCCGGATCCGGATACCACCCAGGAGCCTCTACTGCTTCCATTGTGACACCTCCACTAAATCGCAAGTACTCTAAGTGCAGTTGCACCCATCCTCAGTTGGACTGTTACAAAGTTACCTGCATAGGCTTAAGTTACATTGGGGGTTTTGTACTTCCACCAGATTGGGGATATCTCATTGGACTCCTGCATTTATACTCTTCATTATCATTTGCCACTACTTCTCCATTTACTTGCATAGTTAACCCCATCCATTAGCCATATAATTTAAACTGAGGCTGTGATGCGAGGAACTCTAACTCTCTGTTAAAACTGAGAGAGTGAAACCAGAGTTCCAACCCTGAGAAGCCTCCGCAGCTGCGATCCACGCTACCTCAGTCCTTACAGGCGTGACACGACTATACTGTATAGAGCTATTATGCCAAAGCCTAATTTAATGATCCTGTCAAGCAGTCTCAAACTCAATTCACGCGGGGGCCACTGGACAAATTTTCTTCTCCCGTTTGGGGCTGCTTGCCAAATTTTTATAAAATCTCAGACTTCAAAATAAAAGTGAACTATAAACAGTATCCTTGTTAATGTCTGCGCATGTTTATATTGTCAGTATATCTGTGTGTGTGTCATATCAGTATGTATACGTGTGTGTGTCATATCAGTATGTATACGTGTGTGTTCACAGTGTCAGTATATGTGTTTTTTCCCTACAGTTTTTAATTTTAATCATATAGGACCAACAGATTCACACAGAAACATACACAACACCCAGAAATACACACAGATACAAATATGCACACACACCCCCAACCGGAAAAGCACACACATACAAATTGGCACTCATTCACATCTGTAAGTTTAGGTGTGATTAGGGATTCCTGTGTCAAGAACTTTCATTTTCCCGCAGCAGGAATCCCAAATCTGGCATTAACAAGTGGCAGCTGTCACCCGTTAATGATCTGGTGACAGCCGCTGCATGTAAATGCCGGCACACCGCATGTAATCGTATATGATATGGTTATTTGAGGTTAGGAATCAATCAATCGATGATGTGTCCAGGGATAGTGATTGTTTTCTGACTAACTGTAATCATATCACATGTGGTGTGCAGGTGTTTACATGCAACAGTTGTCATCTGATCATTAACTTAAACAAGTGACAGCTACCGCGTGTAAATGCAAGTTGCTGACGCAGGAATCTCTAATCACACCTAAACTTACAGGTGTGAATATTCCCCCAAACACTCACACACACATACATACATACACAATAGTGCAACCCCCACACACGCAATAATGCACTCCCCCCACCCACAGAAATACATAGATACACAATAATGCAAACCCACACACAGAAATACATACATATGACTTTGAGACCCCTGCTGTAAAGGCTTGTTGGGTCGAGTGACAGCAGAGCACTGGGCAACATATAAAGTACATTTGTAACAATTATAAGCCCATTTAAGAAATAAATCAGTGACTATGTGTGAGGCCGCATTATCTAGCAGGATGGTCATAACAATATGCAATTGTGATGAGGATCTCAAATCAAATGAAAAGCCTAGCATGCAAAGCCAAACCTTGTTTGGAACTTACTACTGGGCCAGCCTAACTACTCTGCTTACATAAAGAGAAGACATGTATTATAAGTTACTGTATAAACTGTACTGATGAAAGTGCACATGAAGTCCACATGATGTGGTTCTCATGGAACAAGTCTTGTGAGTTTTGCCATGGCTATTACAACCACAAGAATTGAACCCAGATTCAATGTCTCTTCTTTCCCAAAATATATTGTAGTTTCTTCCAAACAAGAGGGAATAATCTTACATAACCAGATGGATACATTCCAGGTTAACACGATATTTCCCATAGAACTTACACAGAGCAACATCTTTCCGGTAATTGCGCTATGATAGGGCTCAGCTACAGTGTTAATGCATTTGTGGCAATGCTCTCAAGTCTGTAATTACTAAGTGCTTGAAAGAGTGCATCCTGATATATTACCTAATGATTTCAATCTTACAGAGTCTTTCAGGGTAATTTCTTAATGATAAATAACTTCCATTGATTTAAAGTTGAAGTGACTGAAAGTAACTTTGAGGTGCTTGGCTTTGATGGTGATTAAACTTCCCAATATCACCTACTGCACATAATAAGCTTCATATATAAACATTGGAATGATATTTTATTTTTCACTTTCATGCCACTATAACAATTCATATGTTTCAGTTCTAACATGTACACGTCTCCTGGTCAGTAATCTACAAACCTTAACTGAAGATAACTTAGAGCATACTTTGATGTAAAATGACTACGTTGTACTTTTTGATAAACCCACCACAAAATTCTTGTGACACACCAATGCACATTTGATTTATGAAGATTCACCAGTATTAGCATTGAAAACATGAACTTACATGCCATAATAAAAAAATGGTCTCTTTCTAGGATGGTAACTCAGGTACATAGAGCCATGCTGCTGCCTTCAGGAGATTGAACATAGGCAAACAAAGCTGTAGTATAACCCCTCCCACTCTCATCATTCCTCAGTTTTGTGGTAGGAGTGGATCATAAGAACAGTAAGAACGGACAGCAGGGATATATATATAGATATCTATATAGATATCTAGATATCTATATAGATATCTATATAATAATCCCTGCAGGGCCACAGGAATCCGGTAATACACTGTAGTAGCCACAACTACTAAAGTGTACTACAGCTTCTTCTGGGTCCTGATACAGCTGCTATGCTAAGCGACTTCCTTGTGCTGTTAAAACACAGAGAATCACTCAGCTGATTCTAGCGGCCATTAAGAGGAGGCCTATTTTTAACTTACCTGCCCGGTAAAGGACATGCCTTCTTGTGACTTTGTGAAGTCCACATACACCTGGTTGGCACGATGAATGACTGTTGCCACAGCTTCAAGGTACTGAGGAGATGATGTAGCCAACAGAGGGAGAGCGGCTAGAGGGATGTGGTCCTGACTATTAGATAAACAACCTTCATCATAACTGTATGGGCTCAAGCTGCAAACACAAATATAACAATTAGTATCAGTTACCCGTCATTAGGAATTGCTTTCATATATAGGTATGAAAGTTGAGCTGGTGAAGAAAAATAAAATTCCTTTATTACCACTATGATACTAGTAAACTGTGTCATATGCTTGCTTATACAGTTTTTGAGTTAAGCAATCCAATAATTTATCTTGTGGCTTTCTGATACATAAAACACAAGAAACGTGAAGAGGCAATCCATAAACATTGCGGAATTAAAATGTGATGATGTTGCCACAGCAACCAGTCAGTATCCAGGAATCATTTTATTTACTGTAATGTACAACATTAATTTAAGTAGAGAAGCCCCTTACTATAGGTTATGCCTATCCATTTCCCCTTTCTTCAGTTTTTATGTGTTTAACAAGCACATCAACACTATCCTAACTGGTTACCAGACATTATTTACACTTAGTTACATACAATTATACAACATGAACATTAATAAAATTACACATTGAGACTACTATATGAAGTATTTTTTTTAGCTTTGCAAAACATCTGTCTTGAATTAAGAACTTGATGATCTCTTTAAGGCACAACACACACAAAGGTACAAAGTACTTTTGCTTTATTTCTCAAGTAGCCAGTTAAACTACTGCCGCATATTGGAAGCTGCCTTTTCTCGATCTTGGAGATGTAAAGCTTGTACAAATGGCTTCCTGGTTAACAAGGCATTAACCTGTATACTGTATGATCCATCTTACAACCACAAAGTCTTCAGATCCTGGAAGCCATAACTGCAATATGGATAAGCACATTTACTTACAGGTAATCTGCTTTCCACTTTGTAACCAAAACATGACCCTCCCATTCCAGAACACTGCTTTTATCCTTTCATCCCTTTTTTCTTTCTAATTTGCATTTGGGACAAATCATGTCAGACATGTATCTGGATATTGCATCTATGAAATGTCTGTAATCATGGCTGTTCAACTATTAGTATTTGGTCTGAGATTGTGCTCACGGGGCATAGGATTTTCAAATTTTTATGGATAGTGTTATAAATTGCATCAACTAGTTTTATTTTTATTGTATTTATTTGTATGTTTAATCAATTTTGATACATTTTCCTTATGCATTGGTTTCATATCTCTCTACAAAACCCTTTTTTTCTATTTTGTTCTGTTCAATACATATTAGGGTGAGAGGTGATTATAGGAAGCCAAGGTAGAGGCGATCCACAAGTTTTTTAGTTTTGCGTGAGCAACTGATCAAATATCTTCAAATATTGGGCTGGCTATACAGGATTCCTTTCTTATTTAGGTTGTTTTAATGATCCTATAGATGCATCCTGTTTAGTACGGTATGTTGCATCTACACTACATTTTTGTGATTAACAGTTGCTATAGTTAAACTCTTAATTCAAAACTAAATAAAGAAAACCATAAATCAAAATGCTTAGATTTTATAGGCATTTGTATCGGACATTATCATAATCTGAAGATGTCTCGTTTCCAGATTCACAGGAATCTTGCCACGTATAGTTGTTTACAGTGTGTCACACTGTGATTACACATTATTGTATAACACATACTGTAATGTGTTATCACAGTATAGCACATTATAAAAAGATTTATATGTCAGGGGAGCTAGAAGTTTAGCAGCCTATGGCCAGAGTACAGCATCTGCAACAGCATCAACCAACATTCAGCTGTGTTTAAAGGATGATTATTGCTGTTGATGCCTATCAAAGGGACCAGGTGATTCCTAAAGTGTATGGCATTAAAGTTAAGAACTGCAAACTGAAAAACAGCTTTTTATTGCTGAAAATATCTTTTTTTCCTTGCTTAGCTGTTCGTGTGAAGAGGAGTGAAAGCTTATGTTAGACTCAGATTTATCCACTGTTTACAACTATACCCAGCATACGTGCTGCATACATCCAGGTCTCTACTAATGCGTCACAAACTATCATCAGCCGCTTTCAAATTCCTAGCATTACAGTATATTCCTGCAGGGAATGTGACAGCGCATGATATCATATGGAGGTGGCCTTTTGCAGAGAGATGCATTAGATGTGAACTTTTTTTTTTTTAAATGTTTTTAACAGGTGGCTAAAAAGTATGAAGGGACACTATTACCAAAATAAGGGTTTTTTCATCTATTCCCTATGATTATGATGTTGTTGTTATATATTGCAGAAGGGGGGGAGGGGTTGCAGGGAGGAAAACGCCATTTTGGGACTGAAGGTATGCTTGGTGAATTAAATGTAAAGCAGAATAAAAAAATGACATACATTTAAATAATGTTGCGTCTGTCAATAAAATGAACACAACATTTGTTTTCTATGTCCCCCATTAACAATGTTATTTATTTTGATTCTGCCAGTAGATCAATTACTTTATCGCTTCCTTTATTCTGCAGCGAAATCACATAGCGGCATTGTCACCCAGCTTTAAATGGACCATAAGTAGGCACCAATTCTAGCCAACACTGTTTAAGCAATTACACAGTTTTTGGGGGTTTTCATTTAGGAAAACAGGTTTAAGCCACATGCTTTGTCCAAAACCCTGTAACAGTCACTTTTGCTGGACCGCTTGGTCTGCGTGTAAACATGGAGGGCAATATAAATAAAGGCATGTGAAATAAATTAAAAAAGCAACTAATTTTGGCAATATTATCATTACAGGTATTAATCACATAGTTACTAATATTTTCTTTTTCCCCGCTATAACTTGTTCTTTAAAGGAGAACTATGACATGAGTGATTTCCACTCACCTCATAGTTCTAAGCCGACCTGTGACAATGAGACTGTCACAGGTCGGCTCAGTAGATCGGGAGGTGAGAGAACACATACCGGGTTCCCTCACCTCTCGATCCTGTCACGGCTCTCTGCCGTGACAGGGGGAGGGGCTGGATTCCCCTCTCCCCGATCTGCCAGCGCTGACTGGCGGAACGGACACAGCTGGCTCTGCCTCTAGATAGGCAGAGCCAGCTGTCACTCACGCAGCTGGGCGGATCCCGTCATCTAAGTCGGGATCCGCTCCAGGTGCAGCGTCTCAGTATACCGCGAGCTGTAGCTCGCGGTATACTGAGCTTAGGGTAACGGGAGGACGCTAGTTTGTGTCCTCCCGTTACCCCAAGGAGAACTATGGGGAAAAACACTGATCCCATAGTTCTCCTTTAAGCAGACATGCCTGTATAGGTCACATTCCCTTGTTTTGTCATGAAAGATAGATATTCACAACATTTACCATGAGTTTATCTCTATATTGACAGCATACCTCTCCTGAATGCTGAGCAATAAATACAAGTATAAAATAAAAATTGGAGCAAAAAAAAAAAATATGGCATCTGAGAAATAGATTCATACAGAAAATCATGTAAGAAAAACAATTGCTCACACACACTCACTAGACATGTAGGATTTAGTTGACTTATTGAAATAGTAGTAATGGGCATAAGGGTGTAGGCCACATCTGGCTACAAAAGGCAGTAACATCCAAGTGGCCCACAGAAGCAGCAACCTTAATAGTTCTGCAGAGTTAACAGTTATGGCTGCGACTGTTTCAACCTTTGAAAAATTTACAGTAAAGGAACTCCCCCATAGTTTGTGAAAACTATGGTGCTAATGGGGCAGTTGCACACTGGAGAAACCTTGAAGCTGAAAACAGCTGTAAACCTCTTTGTTCATAAAGTGTATAAAGTCTCTCTCAGCTTTAGACCCGAAGGGGGAGGGGGGGGGGGTTATATATCCAGTGTCTCTTCCAATAAAGGAAGGCAACACAGGCACATAAGGAATACCTGGACATTAGCCACAAATACAGAAATGTCAGGTAAGGATTCAGTGCAGGAGTGTGACTCACTTGGATACTCACTTTATTGGAAGTGTCTCTTCCAATAAAGGAAGGCAAGACAGGCACATAAGGAATACCTGAACATTAGACACAAATACAAACATTTTAGGTAAGGACTCAGTGCAGGAGTGTGACTCACTTGGATACCAATGAGAATGCTTCTGAGCAGATGGCTGGGCAGGGAACGAGCCTGACTGTAATGTGTCCTAATGCCGCTGGGTAATGCACCCTCATTACGGTGTCAAACACAGATTTGATGGTATTGACGTCACCCTGCTTGGAAGTCTGGTCTCCGCTGCCTGTATCCAGGATATTACCACCATGAAGCACCAGGATTAGTACATGGACTTTACATGGCTGCAAGGAGGTTTGTGCCGATTCATCCTGTAAGGAATAGAGGCATAATTTTACATAGGCTCTTGTAATGCCAAGTTCTAATACAATAGTATGCCTAAGTCCTTCACATTTAGAAGACCACTTACAATACATGCATCTTCATATGGAAATCCCATACAAACTACTATAGAAAGTTTGGAAAACCAGCAAAATACAGTTTTAGCATTTGCAATCTGTTTTATTTACATCATACTAAAGACTGAGTTTCAGCCATCGTTGAACAGCTACCATTGCCGACTTCTCATTTTGAAAATGCTGGTTGACTTCAAGTCTAACCCACAACGAATATGCAAGGAAGGACTTCAGACATTCCTGGCATGCATGCCTGTTGCAGGTCAGTGACTCAAAAAGTATTGAAACCTGTAATTCAGCATAATAGCCTGGCAACTGGCATTTCCCCAAGAAGAGTAACAATGGTTGCCCCCATGACTCTCAGGAAAAGTAACTTCAATGTCTACTCTTGAACGCTTGTTAAACAAAAGTGGTGCTAGGGTTTGAATTCTACACAACACAGCATGCTCTGTCAATAGAATGAGTCACTACAGGCTAACACTTGTTAAACTCTCCACATGGTGAAATATAGAATATTACAAGATGCTTCAAACAACAAAAACATGTTTTTGAACCACATCGTAATTACACATGCAGGTATAAAGCAAGACAAGTAATATCTACATTGTTAACAAAACAGCTCATAGAAATAAGTGTTCAGCAACTACAATAGACCTCAAAAAATATGATATAATTTAAAAACATTATTTAAAAAATATAATATAATTTAAAAAAATGATTGAAAATATATAATATAATTTAAAGTGATATTAAAAACAAATGTTGTAAGTGAAATCACTTACAATGGACGCTTCTCCTTGATGTTTCAAAGTTTTAGTTTCCTGCAGAATCCCCTGAGAGCTGGCCCTGATATCCTGTTTTAGGATGGCTCATTTCCCTTGCTGGGTCCTATAGAGCCACCCTTGTGTGTGCTAGTGAGCTGTCTGTGTCTCCAAAAACACACAGGAACAGCAAGGCAAACCACTTCTCTGCACTCCACTCCTCCCTTCTCCGGAGTACTAGATGGACAGCTGCTGGAGACTGCTCTGTCCCTTGTGATCTTGTACTCAACAAGAAGTTCAAGGAAGCTGAGCTGAGACAGTTGGAGCCAGCTGTACAGAAACATGATAACTAAGTGCTTGGGTGAAAATATAGAAATACTTTGCTGGGCAATGTATATTTGTTTGATCTGGAGTCATTATTGAAAAAAGGTTTGAGAGTTTAATACTACTTTAGATAAAAATATACGGAAAGGATCAGCGATATAAAACATTTGTTCTACCTTCAGCCCTCTGTGTAGTAATATGGAGGGCTTACTCTTCAAGCAGGAATTGGAAAGCTCAATCTTATCCCATCCTGCTGTTGTTTATCCAGAGAAAGCCCAGTCCTACACATGCATTAGCACTATTATTTATGAATGCATGGCCTGTAACATCCGCTTTAAAATATGAAATTGCAGATTTTGTCTCTGGGAGAACTGTGGGATGGCGGTCCTCTTTTACTACATGGGGGGACATGACCTCTGTTTAAGCTTGAGAACCCATGCAAAAAACAAATAATAATATTTCTAATGTCTACTGTACACATTCCTTTATTAGATATGCAAGAAAACCAGTATAACCAGAGGTAAGGCAAGCTTCATAACGGCCGTATGGCATCATGGGAACAAACAAGCATTATTATCACATTGTACCATAAAACATCAGTTGATCTAAACAAGGCCAGCTGTGACTTTCTGCAGCTGTAAGATAAAGCAAAGACCAAGCAGTTAAAAGTTTTCTGGCGCAAGCGAGTTGCTGTGTTTATACGGAGCGTGCTTTGTAATTGACACAAAGAAGAACGTGTAAAGCAACAGATAAGAAATTTGCTGTCATGAAGAAACACATCTGGTGTTCTGCAGCAACAGAACATGACGGCACACAAAAGGCACTACTGGTCCACTTATTATAACAGTGGCTGTGACACAGCACTGGAACTGCTCAGTATCTTCCCTTAATTTGCACAGAAGCCGAGCAAAAAATCCAAACTGCTTCCTTAAAATGTATGTTAGGTCATTTTTATGGTAAAACTGCTTTGTAGTGTGTAGATCACTATGCACCGAACAATGTACATTGAACACAGTACAAGTTTAAAGGAAACTGGCCCTTTACTAGTGACTTGGCTGTCATGCTGATTCCATACTTTACAAGCAGATGAAGCAAAGACTTATGATCTTTATATGTGTTCCAGGTCAGTGACTGAAACTTGATAAACAGCTCGACAGCCCAGGCACCTAGAATTTTCAGAAGTGGAAACAATGGCTGTTCAAAAAATTGATCTTTGCATATGTTTTATTTAAAGGGCTGCAAGCTCAACTCCAGCCACAAATTGTGGTTTTATTGCTGCCTCAGCCTCCATGTCCAGATAACAATCACATTCCCCATTTCTTGTCCAGGTGTCAAAAGAATAAAAAAATAAGAGAAACAGACAGAAATAAAAACCTGGCAGAAGTGTTAACTTTTCCCACAATCCAAACCCCCTAGCCAGGGTTAGGCTTTAAAGAAGAACTCTGGGTAAAGAAAAAAAAACTAACCCTTGCAGTGGGGCTACCCCACTTATTTTACTTGTTTGTCTAGGAAACTTAAATAAAGCTGTATTACTCACCTGATCCTCGGCCCCACGGCGTTCATGCTTACCACTCTCCACCTCTGCATTCCCACGTATACTGCACGTCAGTGAACCTAAATAAGAAGTGATGATGTCAGCAGTCCTTAGACCACTGGAGCCCAGAGTAGAAGAAACTGCAGGGACTGCAGCCTGGAGTGAGCCAGTGGAGTCAAAGATCAAGTGAGTATATCTGCTTTATTTGGGCCCCTAAACAAAACAAGCATTTAACCCTTGAAGTGTGGGGGTAGCCCCATTGCAAGGTTACGTTATCTGTTAGCCCGGAGTTGTCCTTTAAAATAATAGGGACATTTATATAAAAGTTCTCTTAATAACATCTACGGATAGCAAAGTAAGAATTACAGGAGGATACAAAGGCAATAAATTAGACTTTAAATCATTTTTACTAGTACCAGGGGCGTAACTAGAAATCACAGGGCCCCATAGCAAAATTTTCTATGGGGCCCCATGATTTCTAGTTATACCCCTTGCAGAGCCCACTCGAGATCCCACCTGAGGGTGACCCTGCAGAGCCCACCATAGACCCTCAGGTGGGCTGGTCGCACTCCTTACCTGTCCGCCTCCTCTTCGTCCACGGTCGCTGATGGGCCCCGCCTCCTCCTTCGTTGCCGGGCCCGCCTCCTTCTTCGTCACCGGGCCCCACTTCCTCCCCTGCTGCCGACCACGGGCACCGCCTTCTCCTCCACTGCCGGGTCCAGCCTGCTCCACCGCCTCTGCTGGCTCTCATTGACTATGTGGAGAGGAACGCGCTGCTGCACAGATTACTGTCAGTGATCTGAACAGCGGCGTGTTCGTCTTCAGCCGCCAGTGAAAGCCACCAGCAGAGGATCCCATAGTGACCCAAGCGCCCGCACGCCATCTGGCCGGGCCACATAGCGGCTGTCTGGGTTGCTGTGGTGATTGTTACGCCACTGACTACTGTAGTACCACAAGCAGGTGAGTCCGGGAACATGCTATCTGATTTTTCTCTGCTTGCAGTGAACTTCACAATTTCAAGTTCTATAAATGTATGTAGCGAGCTGAACAGAAAAAATTGGCGCAATTCCTCCATCAACACAAACAGCGTGTTGATCGAGGAATCGCCGCTGTTTACATTGTATTTTGACAGGTGCCACCGCCACAGAATACTCATTGGTTGCTGTCTTTGATCGCTCGAAAATTCTCCAGCAGGCTCCTTCGATCAGCTGATCGAGAAATGCCGGCTGAAAGGGAGCCGACAGGCCCAAACACTGTGCAAATTTCAGCCGGTACATTAAAAAACGGCTGAAATTTGACCAGTCTATGGGCACCTTAAGTATGCACATTAAAAAGCTTTCTACTCAAACTGGAGTTATGAGGCTAATTAGCATGTGTCATAGGTAATTTGGTGGGTATATAAACACAATTTGGGTCAAATTTAATCCCCTAACAAACAGGTGAATGGTGTTTATAAACCTTGGTGCAGTAAATATATGCTCAGTATATAACAAAGTAAATGCATGCTATGCTGCACACAAAAGCAAACTTTTTCATATAACCAACAAGTCAGGTAAATTATTAAAACAAGCTTTACAGCATTCCCATCGTTACTTATGGCTGCACATTGACAAGAGTATGTATAAATCCTCCTCTAAAACAATATACAACAGCATTCAGACAATGGGGGAACCGCGTCATTTGGCTGTAGGCGATGGGAAAGACAAGCAATGAATACTGCTATGAACTGCAAGGATTAATAACATAGTTACTTAGACATATGACTTCAAGCAGTTAAAGTAAAAGCCAAAACAAAGTTGTACAGCCAAAACATTCTTTTTTAGCTTGGATGGAGTAGGGAACATTTTCCAGATTTTTATTGCAGCCTACGTCTGGTTTGGAAAATTCCCGTTCTCTCTTTGTCCTGGTTCCCATTACCTCCGGCACAGTAAAGGAAAATCCAAAATATTACAGTTGTGACAAGGAAGCTAGGGAAACACGAACTCAGGGGAATCTTCCAATGGGGGGCCCCTTGTTCCAATGACAACAATGTAATAAGGATAGCTTTATATACACTTTGGGGCTGATTTCTAAATGAAAATGGCATCCCCAAGCTATACATTGGGCAGATACTGTTCGCACAGCATTAGAACTTCTAGATGGTGCTGAGGAGCATAGGAAATACCTATGATAGTGTTGTGCAGTGCACGCATGATCTGCTCAGCTATATGCTTGGCAGATCATCTATAAAATTGGCCACTTTAAAATAAAATGTATGACTTTTAGTAATAATAATATAAAGAACCTAGTTTAGAAGA